ACAAGAATTTTGTAACAGAAAAACTTGTTAGACATTAAAATGGCCAGAGAATGTTTCAGAATTTCCTGCATTGCAAACCCAAAAACCTGAGTTAAAACAAGTCCCCATGTCTCTTGAATAACTTAAGTGTGTGACAGAGTGGAGGTGGCATGTGGAATCCTCCAGAGTATATAGGGAGGCTGGCATTCTTAATTTTGGTAAGTCTTTTACCATTTGCCCTACTGCTTTGGGTGCAGTGCAGTTAAGGACAGTCAGTTTTCTTACTTTGCTGATTATTTTCCTGCCATCTTCTGAGAAGGAGGTCAGCAGGTCACTGTCACAGTTCCTATGGTAGTGTTTTGCCAGTCGGTACTGTATTATTGGTAAAGTGCTTCCATCCTGACACAAGTCCATTTGACTTTCACCTTGGATCTCACTTACACAAGAAACACACCTGTAAATGTATGTACAATCTCTTTGACACTACTAAGAATTGTGATGCTAATATTTACTGAACTTTGCCCTCCCTTGCTCATCTCACTAATCCACAGCTGACTGTAGAGCCCATTGAGTTCCTCTTTATCCCCACTTGGCAGAGTGAGGTTCAGAGAGCCCAGGAAGCTGTCCACAGCCACAGAGGAAGGAGGGATGCTGGGGCATTGGGCTAAACCAGACTCCAGCATCAGGCTGGAGTCACTCTGTTTTTATGTTAGTGATTTTGCAGACTAACAAATCCCTCTAATTGGCTTCTTTAGAAAATTCTTTAATTTTTTTGAGTTCTAACATTGTAGTGGGGAATAACAACAACAAAAAACTATCTTTAGATACTGGGTCTCAAATTTGGCTCCACTTTGGAATCACCTGGGAGTTTTTTTTTTTTAAAGTACTGACGTCTGAGTTGTCCTTGGATCTTCTGTACTCATGGATATAGAGAGAAGCCTGGATATCAGTTTTAAAAATCCCCTAGGTGGTTGACTTCCATGCAGGAGAGTTTGAGAACTCCTAATAGAAACAAGGCACATGATAAAGTTCTAAATCTTTTATCAAGGTGTGGTGGCTCACACCTGTAATCCTAGCTACTGGGGAGGCTGTGATCAGAAGGATCTTAGTTTGAGACCAGCCTGGGTAGAAAGTTTGAGAGACCCTATAAAAACCAATAGCTGGGGAGATGGTGCATGCCTGTCCTCCCAGGTACTCAGGAAGCATAAATAGGAGGATTGCAGGCCAGGCCAGCTTGGTCATAAAGTGAAACCCTATTTGAAAAATAACTAAAGTAAAAAGGGTTGGGGGTATGGGTCAAGTGGTGGAGTGCCTACTTAGCTAGCACAAAGCCCTGAGTTGAAACCTCAGTCCTGCCCCCCAACCAAAAAACTGCATCTCCATTTTTCCTTCAGTAAACAGTAAAGTAATTCTGTAAATTACAGCAGTATGACATACGTGCTTTAGACACTGCAAAGACTTTACAGTTAAAGCGATCTGTAATCCCTTCACTGAAAGCTAGTATAGCATTTGGCTGTATATCTTTTTTTTGTTGTTTTTCTGTTTTGCCCTGTGCATATTTCTAAAGTCTTAACTATGATGTTATTGTTCTGTAAAATTTTGCTTTTAATGCCTGATGGTATTATAGCTACTTTTTGTATTTAACATGCTTTGCCAGACTCAGAAATTCTTGATTCTTATCCACATATAAGAATGTCACTGGATCAGTCGTACAGGCCATTAACTCTCAAATTGAAGCAGAATCTCCACTAATGGGGGTTTGTATGTTACCTGAAGTGCCACTTAGGAAACTGGTGTCATGTCTCTTCCTTGGACCCTGATTTTACACAGCAGTTTTCCAGACAAGGGAACCCTTGGCTTACTTGTGTCCCTTATAGACTCAAGACAAAGCCTTTTGGCTTTTCCCTGGCTCTGGCATTCAGTACCTGCTCAGGTGATGCTTGAATGGTTGGGTAGACAGAATCTGAGGGGGTAGTCAGAGTTTGAAAAGATTAATTACTGAAGTAAGTTTAGATGTATCTGACAAAAGTTGCTTGGGAATATTAGAGCAGTCAGTAGGAAGAAGCTTAAGAGTGTGATTAAGATAAGGGCAGGGGCTACGAGACTCTTTAGGATGGGTAAGCTACAGATCCTTTGAAAAATGTAAATTCTCTGGTTCCAGAAACTTCCCAGACTTGGTCCCCAACAGGTTCATTCTTTCTGAGTGAAAGCTCCCCTCCCCTCGGAAGGGTATAGGGGCCAGGTCCAGCTTTCGATTTCCATGTCCTACTCACTTGTTATAATAAAGAGGCTGCATTAAATACATTGTCAGAATAGGAACCAGTATTTTTAGAATTCTCTCTTCCCAAAGTGTTTTTCTAGTAAAATTTGAGTTAGAAACTGCTGTAGTGTAATGGAGTTCAAATAGAATGTTCCTGGAGCCAGTCAGTGAGCAGCTGTGACAGGAAAGAACCTGACAGTCAGTCACCCATGGAGGCCCACTGAGGGGTAGCTGAGGAGGCAAAGGACCAATTAGAGAGATGTGCAGGTTTGCCCAATGTGGGCTCACTCAAGTATTTTTGGCACTGCAGCCACAAAGCCAGACATCTTCACATGATATGATTTAGGAAGGATTCTTTTTCATACTGACTTCTTTTTTATTTTATTTTATTTTTTTTTTGTGGTACTGGGGCTTGAACTCAGGTCCTATACCTTGAGCCACTCCATCAGCCCTTTTTTGTGATGGGTTTTTTGTGGTAGGGTCTTACAAACTATTTGCCCTGGCTGGCTTCAAACCGTGATCCTTCTGATCTCTGCCTTCTGAGTAGCTGGGATTATAGGCGTGAGCCACTGGCACCCTGCTACTGACTTCAGTAATGTAAACTTTATAAACAGTAGATTCTTAATTATGATTAATCCCTAGGTCTATACATCAAACAACTTTATCATTCCTTTTTGCCTCTGTAAAAATGTTTGATTTAAAATGTATTATGGTCTTTACTTTCTTATTACTGTTTATTTTAAAACAAGTTTTTATTAAAAAGGAGAAATTGCTAATTTATACATTTAACTTCATTAGCATACAAGGTATATGCATGACTAAGTTACAGAGTCTTGCTGGAATCATTTAGAACCAATGCGTTTATATAGTTCCCAAAACTCCAAGAAAAATTAGAAGGTGTTCTCTATCCTTTGTTCTTCCCCTCTTATTGAATTCAGGGTACTTGAAAAGACTTTCAGTGAAAGACATTAAAGATGTTTTTAACTTCTTTAGTTTTTAATCATCGGGTATCATGCTTAGAATTTCCAAAGAAAAAAGCCAAAGGATGAAATAGCAAGCCTGGTTTATTTTTCTGAGCAATATTTGTCTTAGTAGAACATAATGATGAAAGAGAGGGAGTCCTTACAGCTACATCATGTAATATAGCAAAAAATAAATCAAAGCTAACAGCAATAATTATTTAGAAAATACCAACGAGTCTGTGAAAGTTGACTTCTGGAGGGCCCTGCCAGCCCTCGGAGCCAGGAGTGTATTAGGATTTAATGGTACCTCTCTGCTGCGTTTGATGAGCTGTCCTAGAAAAACATTTTGAAGCAATACAGCATCCATTTGGCTCCTAAGTAATGAGGGAGGCCTTGCTCTTTGCATTAACTATTTATTCAGGAAGACAATTGACCAACTGCTAATAGGCTTTATCCAAAGAAGGTCGTTTAAAACAGAAGAAAATGACAAAAGTGGGGCTGTCTTCGATTTCATGTGCAATTAACAAAGACCCAGAGCTAAGTGGTTGGTGGCCCTGGGCCACGTGACTTTGGGCCGGCTGTATTTAAGTGTGAGTGCCTGTCAGATGTAGTAAAAGCTTCTGGCTTAAGGAGGGATGGCAAGCCTAAGCCAATGACATGAGAGGAAGTCATGACTGGTGAGTGGCTCAGATGGGCTGATCTTTCTAGTGTTTGTTTTCTAAGATCAACGCCAGTGAGTTAGACTCACTGGTTTTCTCTTTGGGAGGAAGGATTCCTTCTTTTTTCAGATGATTATTTCTCTTTCATCACTTGGGAAATCTGCTCTAGTTGAGTATAACATTTAGATTTATTATTAAGACATTAGAACCTGGGAAAACTTCGTATTTGCTATATAAATCTGTAATATATTACTTGGAAATAGTTTCTCAATAGAAATGGGATGTTTCACTCTTGTTCTGCAAGGCCACAGCCACCCTTCTTTGCAGTAAGTGCTTAGGATTTAGGGATTTCAGGATGGCTCCCTCAGTACTGGGTTCACACCAACGAGGGGCTTTTTTAAAGTAAGTTTAGAATCTTTGAAGCATTTTTGGTGCTAAAACAGCTTGAAGTTTCTAGTCCACTTGCTTTAAGGTTTTTTAACACAATTAATTTGCCTTTTTTTTGTTTTAGTAACATGAAATAAAAAGGATGAAAATCACAATTATTTTCTTCCCTTAAGTCAACTAAAGGATTTTTGTGCAAGTTCACATTCCTTCCTCCCCTGACTAAAAAATAATGCAGTGGATTTCTGCACAAGGAGGGGGAATCCTTCATGTGAATCATATTCAAATAGGCAGTGGAAATTATATGTAATCGTAGTATTACTTAACCATTAACAGAATTTTCTTGATACTGTAGTGAATCAATTTTAGATTGTTTAATATTTTTTTTTGATTATTAATTTGAAAATATTTTCCATGTTGATATGTATTAGTTCTAATCTTACTGTGAATCACTTTGAAGTATGTTTGAAATCAGTTTTTAAGATATATTCCATGAAATAAGAATGCCTTGTTATTTGGGTTCATACCCTGTAGAAGGGGCTAGGAAGCCTGATAAGTAAGTAGCAACAGGATCAAAGATGAAAAATTACTCTGGAGAATTTTCCTTTCTGGAGCCCATTATATCATGCACATAGAGCAAAATTCATCTGTTACAAGACTCAGGTTAGAGATGGACTGCCTCGCAAGACGTTGGGTTTTGTGAAAATCCCTCTCGTTCTTCATTAACAGCCATTAGATTGAAATTATGCCTTTCAGATAATTACTCCATTCAGAAGGCTCATGCTGTGTGCTGAGAACAGAAAAGAGATGGAGGACTGGATCAGCTCTCTGAAATCTGTACAGACCCGAGAACCTTACGAGGTAAAGTAGCATCTCTCTGCCACCTCCTGTTCTTAGAGCATAGGTGTTAAACAAGAATAACCATATAGACGCATTCAGCAACCTGTTTAAATTTGATTTTTTTTTTTTACTTAAAAATATGTTTTGGTATTAAAAGTAATGGGTTGAAATTTTGATCGTAAGTGTAGTATATACCTTCCAAATAATCCAGCATCTGTAGTCTTGCTCTTTTGTTTGGCAAATCTGTCCTCACGTCTCCTTTCTAGGTGGCCCAGTTTAATGTGGAGCATTTCTCAGGGATGCATAACTGGTACGCCTGCTCCCACGCCCGCCCCACCTTCTGTAACGTGTGCAGAGAGAGTCTTTCTGGAGTCACCTCCCATGGCTTGTCCTGCGAAGGTACTGTGCCGTCCTACACGTGCTCTCTGAGTAGTAGCTATGCCATGGCCATGCCACCATTGTGGAGGAAACAGACACACTCACCACAGGGTAGAAGTAGGAGCTAGGAGCATCTCTGCTAGAACAGGTGTTTAAGTTTTATTTTATCTTCACCTTGAGCTCTGCACAGGAGGACTAATTTGAGAAATATTGTTTCTCTGGAAAAGATAACAAAAATCACCTGAAAGTAAGCATAAATCAAAATACAGTGTTTCCCTACTAAGTAACTACTTTTTAAAAAACAAAGTTTGGCCTTTCTAGTATTCTAGTATTTTTTTATTCTGATGTACACTTGAGATAGCAAATATTTTTGTCAGGACAGTGTGCATTCTTTGGCAGTAGTAGTCCCCACTGATTTATACTGCATTGTTTGAAACATTTTCTTTTATTTCATTTTCCTTTAAATAGATATCATTCTTTTATTTTTATTTACTTTTGAACCCAGGGCCTCCCAGATGCTAAGCAAATGTGCTACTGAGCTCCAGGTCCAGCCCTGAAGTCATCTTTTCAAATTTCTTTAAAGTCTTCTAAAATAAGACTTCTTTGACTTCACTGAAGGATTATTTCTGAGTTCTTATTTTAGAGCAGTGACTACAAAAAAATATTAATATTTACCAAGAGAAAACTCATGACTTGTGGGGGCTGGAACGTAACTCAATGGCAGAGCCCTTGCTTGACTGCACAAGAGGCCCTGGTTTCACTTCCAGCACTGCCCAGAAGAACACACTAGCTTCTTTAGATTTATTGTGCTTCACACGTCAGTGAAGTATGAAATGTGCTACCTACTATTTTTTGGACCACGTGTATTTCCAATACCAGCTCTTTTCTCAAATACAAAATTATCTAAAGTAATTTTGAATGTAACTAATTATGATTAAATAAAAAGGTAGTAATAGAGTCATAGGTTTAATTGATTTTAAATTATAAAATCTGTGATAATCACTGTTTCAGCTATTTACAGTGATACTGCACAGGGGTAAGGAACAAAGCTTATGGTTAGACTCTGTATTTATTAGTAAAAACTGTTACCAAGAGAATGGTTTAATGCATTTAGATTTTTCTTTCCTCATCTATCAGATGAGCAGACGAGAGCATACATACAATAAAGCTATTTATCTAGTCACATAAATTGTGTGAGTGTGTTCTGTGAGAATTATTCAAGTAAATCCAGATTACATCATGGGCCTCCCTCATTAAAATTGGTGAAGGTGAAAGCTTGACAAAGCCATTAAACATCTTTTTTATTTTTCTTCAAGATTTAAAGAATGATTGCAAACAAAGATGTAATTGACCTTTCTGTTTTTAGTAATCCAAAGGGGCTCGTGTGGATCTGTGTAACTCCTGCCTGTTCTGTCATACTCTGTGGAATTATTGTAAATGTCTTTTTAAACTGTCACCCCAAAAATGCTTTTAAAAATCTATATTTAAGGAGCTGTGGCTCAAGCAGTACAGTGCCTGCTTTGCAAAGCACAAAGCCCTGAGTTCATATTTAATTATTTAGTAATTGAGTCTATAGTGGAATAACTGAATATTTTTATAAGAAAATGAAAGTTTCTCCAGTTGGCAAAGAAACTTAAAAAAATCTTTAAATAACATTTTATATTCTTCTGTAAATACTGTGCTCTTCCCGAATTTTGTTAAAAGTCTCAACTATTGGATTTTAAAATTTCTTTACAAGATTATATATCAATACCAATTTTCTCTCCTGGTGAAAATTTAAACCTACAGTAAGTATACTGCCCAAAATCACAAAGGCATTATAAATGTAAAAAAAGTTGCTTTTTTATTTTATGAGAATATGCTTGTTCTGTATGTTTTTTATCATAATCAAAGTATACTTAAACTTTTGAACCCCACCCCCACCTGAATAAGCTGTTTGCTTTGTAAAACTGAAAACTAAAAGCAAAGGATACCAGAGGCCTTAAAAGTTATAATGGAGATGCAAATACAATAAGGATTTGCTCAGTAGTGTTTAAGTGAAATCCAGCTTTAGTGTGTGAAGTTATCACTAAATTTGCTGGCTCTCATTTTTGCTCTTTTTCCACAATAAAATGAGTCTATACTGATTTGTCTTCTTGATTCATGTTGGCTGGTAGCTAATGTTATCATTTTAAAGTCATATATACATATTATTGCATGAATAAAATATGGAAGACAAAAGAGTTTTCATAAATAATTTCCTAATTTAAGAATGTTAATTATAATTTTTGAGTATAAATATAACTTGACAATAAAAAACCTAAATGCGAATTTTCTTTTAAATCAACATCAACTATGTCAATATAGTTACTTATGAATTTTTATCTCAATTACTGTTTAACAGTTACAAAGATTCAGTGTGGTAAAGACTAAGTAGTGATAAAAATAATTTTGTCACATGTCAGTATATTTTCTTAAGTTCTGAGGTTTTAAATAATTGCTTTACAGTTCAGAGAAAAATACTTTATTTCAGAATATAACTTGTCTGGAAAAGTTTAATTGTCATCTTACAAAATTTAGAGCACAATAATCATTTCCACCCCTTAGTGGCCATAATAACAGTCTTGTTTTATTATTATTATTATTATATGTCATATTAAGCAACTTTGTAATTCTCAAGGCACATTGTATGAAGTACTTTATTATAAAAGCTTGATTTTTATTTTTAATGGGCTGTTTGATTTTTAGCGGGAAGATTTTTGAAAAGCAGTAGAATTACACCGTTTACTCTCTTTTATGTCCTCCTTTCCACCCTTAAAACCCAGGAGTTGACTATTATCATCAGATACTTATTTGTACTTAAAAAACACCCTGGGGACTTTGTTGCAGAAAGTTTTAGGACTCCATTTTTGAGAAATAGTATAATAGATGAAAAGGCTTACAGATGCTCACCAACCACAGTTTAAAATAGTCTACTTGTATTAGAGCCAAAGGAAACAGATTGTAATAAAATTTTTTTCCATGTCAAGCTTGCTTCCTATAATCCTGTCTTCATGTTATTTATCAGCAACAAAATTCATTTGAAATGTTATAGTTTTTTATATGAAGTCTTGTGTTTGAGTGACATATTCATTTATAATAAAAATAGTATTATTGCCAGAAAGAATTTTCAAAGCACACAAAAGAGAAAGAAGTGTTGCCAACATGCACAGACTAGCATTTTTCAAGGCGAGACCAGCTCAGTCTGCATAGATATTTCTATATGGGGTTGTCTTGATGCCCAAAGCATTCTGACCTTTTAGTTTTTGTATTTATTTATTTTTTTGGGGGGGAGCAGTACTGGGGTTTGAACTTGAGGCCTCATAGTTGCTAGGTAGGCAGTCTACCACTTGAGCCACTCCATCAGCAAGCACTGGGGTTTGAATTCAGGACTTCATGCTTACTAGGCAGGTACTGTACTACTTGACCCAGCCCCATTCTGAAAATTTGACTATAGACATACTAGTTATCTTACTTGAACCTGTTTTTGTTTTGTTTTGTTTTGTTTTGCGGTGCTGGGGTTTGAACTACAGCTTGAGGCACTCCACCAGCCCTTTTTGTGATTTTTTTTTTTCTTCAAGATAGGGTCTCTCGAACTATTTCCCCAGGCTGGCCTTGAACCATAATCCTCCTGATCTCTGCCTCCTGGGTAGGTAGGATTACAGGTGTGAGCCACTGGTGCCCAGCTGAACCCATTATTTTTATGTACACCAAATTAGGACAGTTCAGAGCATGATATGTACCTCCTCATTTAAAGTTTATTGAACTTGCCTAGCAAGCCCAAGTCCCTGAGTTCAATCCTCAGTACTAAGGGAAAAAAGTTAATGGTTGGTTGTTACAAATTTTAAAAGTCATATGAAAAAAGCCATCTTATGCTTAAATTTAGCAACAGTTACCTGAAATGGACTCCACTTAACTATCTGAAAAGTCAGGAATGTTGTGACATCACAGCCTAATGCATGGATCCTTAGAAGGATCGTGTGTTTGGAGTAGTGTGGGTGTGATCTTCATAAAGCATGGTTAACCTGTCAGGTAACCTGTGGTTTACTTGTTTTTCCACATAGGTGTTGCTTCTTTCTTATTTCTTTCCTCTTATTTTTCTTGTATAGGGTCCTCTTTTATAATACAGTTGGGAAGAATTACGAGGGCTGTAGTGGAACATTATTTCATCTTTCTTCCTCCTACATTTATAATATAGCCATTCCAATGTTATGTTTTTAAGAGAAGATACAATCTTCTTCCTGACCCTCATCAACCCATTTCCCAGGGTGCCTTGTTATTTTGTTGATGTACTTGCACTTTAAAACGTCTCTGAATTGTTTTTATCTTATTAATGTTTTCAAGCTTATAAATATGTGTATAAAACAATGCAAATATCATAAATGTACACCTCGATGAATGTTCTCAAATTAAGCACATTCGTGTAGGGAAATCAGCACACAGATTAAGAAATAGGATTTTCCTAGTTCCTTGTTTCTTGAATTTTATTTTGAGTATGTGTGTGTGTATTAGCCTCAAAAACTAATTCTTTTGTATTTTTCACTTCTGCTATTCTAAGTGGCAATCTATTACTTTATAAATGCTTCATAAATAAAAATCCATATCAGTTTTTGTAATGCCATTACTATTGTTGGAGATTGAACTTTTTCAAAAATTTGTTTTCCTTCTACCTTCTTTCTATTCCCCTTTTAAGATTTCATGTTGTGATTTCCTTTAATCCTTGGTGCAAAAGTCCTTGTTCACTTTAAAATAGTGACTTTTTTTTTTAGTGTGTAAATTCAAAGCTCACAAAAGATGTGCAGTGAGGGCAATAAATAACTGCAAGTGGACCACCTTGGCCTCCATCGGGAAGGACATCATAGAGGACGAGGACGGAGTAAGCCACTGCTCTCCCAGAGCTGTTCTCACTACCTCCTCTCTTCTTTTCTGCTCTTGTAGAAAATAAGGACAGTTAAGTGGGAGTATTGATTATTTGAAGGTTTTAGTTGATTGTGAGTTTTGATTGTTAATTTATTGCTTCATGGGTTCCCTCAGTTCTTGGATTTTGAGGGAAATTGTTACACGAATAGAACTTGGAGTAGTTGCTGGGCTGGGCTGGGATTATAGACCCCTATCTGACAAACACTGTCATCTTCTATAAGACTTGGCTGACATGTTCACTCTTCTAACTCTTGGGCCCCCTCTCAAAGTACCCCCACCTTCAAACATGGTCTCCATTGTATCTGATGGCCCTTACTGATCACTGTATCTAAACCTTTCTCCTCAGCTAGATTTCTCCTGAATCCCAAAAGACAGAGCTTTTGTCTTATCTCTGTACCCTAGAGGGTTCTGGCATAATAGATGTTCAGGAAATAGGGGTAAAAGAGTGAACACCATGCATGATATGTTTTTGACTCAGGAAAGTAAGGAATTGTTCCTTATCTTCCTGGAGGTAAGAATGGCATCCTCCACAGTCTTCACACTGGCTACTCTTTGTTCTTGCCCCGCAGGTCGCCATGCCTCACCAATGGCTTGAGGGCAACTTGCCCGTGAGCGCCAAGTGTGCTGTCTGTGACAAAACATGTGGCAGTGTTCTCCGTCTACAAGACTGGAAATGCCTTTGGTGTAAAACAATGGTGAGGGTTAATTATTTCATCCTTTCTGATTAACCTGCTTCCCTACTTTGGTCATCTATGTGGTTAAGAGGAATCAGAGGTAAAGCAAAGAATTTAAAACAGAGCAGAGCCTGGTAACATTCATTCATTTTGTGACATTCATTTTTTATTTATTTATTTATTTCATGTATTTTTTTTTCCTTTTTCTTTTATTATTCATATGTGCATACAAGGCTTGGATCATTTCTCCCCCCTGCCCCCACCCCCTTCCTTACCACCCACTCCGCCCCCTCCCTCTCCCCCCTACCCCCTCAATACTCGGCAGAAACTATTTTGCCCTTATCTCTAATTTTGTTGAAGAGAGAGTATAAGCAATAATAGGAAGGAACAAGGGTTTTTGCTGGTTGAGATAAAGATAGCTATACAGGGAGTTGACTCACATTAATTTCCTGTGTGTGTGTGTGTGTTACCTTCTAGGTTAATTCTTTTTGAGCTAACCTTTTCTCTAGTTCCTGTTCCCCTTTTCCTGTTGGCCTCAGTTGCTTTTAAGGTTTCTGCTTTAGTTTCTCTGTGTTGAGGGCAACAAATGCTAGCTAGTTTTTTAGGTGTCTTACCTATCCTCACCCCTCCCTTGTGTGCTCTCGCTTTTATCATGTGCTCAAAGTCCAATCCCATGGTTGTGTTTGCCCTTGATCTAATGTCCACATATGAGGGAGAACATACGATTTTTGGTCTTTTGGGCCAGGCTAACCTCACTCAGAATGATGTTCTCCAATTCCATCCATTTACCAGCGAATGATAACATTTCGTTCTTCTTCATGGCTGCATAAAATTCCATTGTGTATAGATACCACATTTTCTTAATCCATTCATCAGTGGTGGGGCATCTTGGCTGTTTCCATAACTTGGCTATTGTGAATAGTGATGCAATAAACATGGGTGTGCAGGTGCCTCTGGAGTAATCTGTGTCACAGTCTTTTGGGTATATCTCCAAGAGTGGTATTGCTGGATCAAATGGTAGATCAATGTTTAGCTTTTTAAGTAGCCTCCAAATTTTTTTCCAGAGTGGTTGTACTAGTTTACATTCCCACCAGCAGTGTAAGAGGGTTCCTTTTTCCCCGCATCGTCACCAACACCTGTTGTTAGTGGTGTTGCTGATGATGGCTATTCTAACAGGGGTGAGGTGGAATCTTAGCGTGGTTTTAATTTGCATTTCCTTTATTGCTAGAGATGGTGAGCATTTTTTCATGTGTTTTTTGGCCATTTGAATTTCTTCTTTTGAGAAAGTTCTGTTTAGTTCACTTGCCCATTTCTTTATTGGTTCATTAGTTTTGGGAGAATTTAGTTTTTTAAGTTCCCTATATATTCTGGTTATCAGTCCTTTGTCTGATGTGTAGCTGGCAAATATTTTCTCCCACTCTGTGGGTGTTCTCTTCAGTTTAGAGACCATTTCTTTTGATGAACAGAAGCTTTTTAGTTTTATGAGGTCCCATTTATCTATGCTATCTCTTAGTTGCTGTGCTGCTGGGGTTCCATTGAGAAAGTTCTTACCTATGCCTACTAACTCCAGAGTATTTCCTATTCTTTCCTGTATCAACTTTAGAGTTTGTGGTCTGATATTAAGATCCTTGATCCATTTTGAGTTAATATTGGTATAGCCTTAAGTGTAGGAGTTAAGTAGGTTTTGGACTTATTCATGTTACTCACTCCCAGCTTTCAGAATTTCACAAAGAGCACTGTTCCCACAGATGGTACATGGAAGCATTCTGGAATGTCTTTTCCCTGGCCAACTTAGATCTCACCTGAGTTACATTATTCCTGCCCCACCCTGAATAAATTAGACATTGTTTCTGTCACCATCATCCTTGTAAAACCTCTCTTAGTCTGAGGCTTCCTATACACTATCATTTACCTGTTTACACCTTATTTTGCCTTTTAAATCTGAGTTTCTCACAGCTGGATGTCTAATGCTTAAAACACAGTCATCTAGTAAAAAAAGAAAACCAAACAAAAACCCCACCAAACCCTAATGACTCAACTTGTAATTTAAAAAATAGTGAAGATACAATTTTATCCTCTGCTTCTCTCACTTAAAATTATTATAAATATATTTCTGTTTTGCCCCAGGATTCTCATGCATTTTAAAATTCCTTTTAAAACTACTGTTCATACTAATTCTTCTAAAACACATCTTGGTTGTTAACTAGTGTAAATCATAATAGGAAACTAAAAAACATGTTATGAGCAGAATGGAAATCACAATTAAACTGAAGTTCTTCTACCAAAAGTTTTGCTAACTACAGTTTTAATTAGTGTATCAGTTTTCTTAAAGGGCTTATGAAATAAAGCCATGTTGAATAAATGCTTTATGAAATGTGTACTTGTACTGATTAAAACACTTAAAGGCACTGTAGATAGATACACAGAGTATTCTAAATAGCCTGTCTCCTGCTTCGTAAGTTAGCCTTGCGTTGTTTCAGTAGTTATTTATTATCTCTTGAGAGACCTTAAAACTTTTTGTTTCTGCAGAGTTAGCACCTTCACTGTGGATGGGCCTATGATCACTCCGCTTTGCCTTACAGAGAAGTAGTCTAACTGGGAAAATAGGCATGGATGTGCTAGTAACTGTAATATTAAAATGCCATAAAAGAAATGTGAATAGAAAGTTACAGGATCAATGCAGAAGAGCAGGCACATTGCAGGTGTTAAATGCTATAAGAATTTTTTTGTAGCAGATAGCATATTGATGTTTGGACATGATAGTGAAACACTGGTTGGTGTTTCCCCTTTCTCTTTATGTCTCTCCTGCCCTCTTCTTCCTTTTCTCCTTTCTTCTCTCTTCCTCTCTCCTTGCCTTCACCACTGGTCATTGACCATAGATTACTTGTTTGAGACAATCGCAAACAAGTTGAGACTACATAGACAAAAATCAAATTTCCATCCCATAAGTTCTTAGTTGGTTCTCGGATGTATAAATATTGTGCCATTAAAATAATTTACAAATTACTGGTACTAAATGACCAGTTCTGTAGATGTAACATAACATAGAAAAACATTGATTTGTCTTTATGATTCTTGAAGGTTTATTTGTTTGTTTTCAGGTACACACTGCCTGCAAAGATTTATACCCTCCTGTCTGTCCGCTTGGCCAATGTAAAGTGTCTGTCATACCTCCAATTGCACTAAATAGCACTGATTCTGATGGTACGTAGCAGTAGTGTAAGTATGTTTATTTCTGGTGTGTTTACAGTTAATGCGTACATTTGTTTATTCTGGTCACTTTTTATGTAACACTCATTTAAATTTGCTGAATTAGTGCACTTAATTTTTAAAAGAATAAGTATAACATAGTTATTAACATACTGATGAAATTGCCATGTATAAGTCCTTTAGATTTTACATTTTGATAAGTAAAATCAGATCATTATTTTGTATTGAAATGCAGTCTGAAAAGGTTACTGTTTTAAGTGTTTTTTCCTTACCATAATTGAGCCATTAGCATGGCTGTTGTTAAATTTTGCTCTCCTGTAATTTCATTGCAAGAATTTCTATTCCTACAAATGCATTTGCTTTTTCCAGAACCCTACAACGTAAGTGCTGAAGAAACTTTATAACTTTCATAACACTGGTTTTGGAATAGCATATTAATAACTAACTCCATTCTGAGCAAGTCTGATTAAAAAAGGCTTTTTACCATATGCCATTATCAATATCTTCCATTAACAACACGCTTTATGCTTTTCAGACTTTTAATACGAATTGTGCCAGGAGATATCTTAGATACAAGGATATGATTAAAAAAAACCCAAAACTGTGCTACTGATAGTTCCTCTAGGCCCTGATATATCATGGTTCTTTTATTTATTATAAGTTTTAAAATATTTTCTCAGGCCTCAGCAAGGAGGAGCTAAAATATTGTAAAATTCTGAATATGAACGTATGTGTTCTTTGACAAATGTAAACTCACAGACTGTGATCAGTTTTTCTTATGCTTGCTGTTAAGGCAGGTGGTATATGTCAAATTATCTGTGATTAATAATTTTACTGTTTTTGGTATGATTTTTTTCATTATAGAGCATATTTTAATATAAGGCCTAAACCTGTCTCTATTTAGGTACAAAATTATAACTGAATGTTCCAGGAATAAACAGAGTCCTTTATTTTTATGAACCATTTATTTTGTGAATTTGCCTTCCTTTCTCTGAATGTTTGTTAATAATTTAAAAGAGGGAGCTGTCCATTGATCTTCTGCTTTGTTCTCTTACAGGTTTCTGTAGAGCAACGTTTTCATTCTGTGTTAGTCCTCTGTTGGTTTTTGTCAATTCTAAGAGTGGAGATAACCAGGGAGTAAAGTTCCTTCGTCGTTTTAAACAGTTGCTGAATCCAGCTCAGGTGTTTGATTTAATGAATGGAGGGCCTCACTTAGGGTAATTCATTAATTTATTGCCTAATCTTATTTGAAGGAAATGTAGCACTATACATGAAATGTGTCTGGCCCCTGTCCTCTCCCCCATGGTACTGGGGATTGGACTCAGGGCCACACACGTGCTAGGCAAGTGCTCTGCCACAGAGTCACATCCCCAACCCTTGCATCTGCTTCTCCAACTTGTGAAAACTACAGATTCCTCTAGACCTCTCTGTGTTGCTCTCCCCCACACCCTTCCTTGTTTAAAGCTCCAATTATAAGTTTAACACAATCTTCTTTATATTAATTCTAGATTTCTTATGAAATTTACAAGTTCCAAAATTTGTTTAGAATATATCTTACATCAAACAACACTAACAACTTGTTTAACTCCAAGAAAAATCAACTTGGATAGATATAAAATACAAACTAATATTAGAAAGTCATTTGCACAGAAGGCTAATGTTGATTTATAATAATAATGCACATAAGCAATGACTTAACCAGGGTACAGGTACCATCCTGACAGGCAAGGTTCCTGAAGAGTTTCGGATACAGTTCACACAAATGACAAAGATATATTTTTGTTTGCTGGACTTTTCAGCTTTCCGAAATGTCCTATAACTTTGAATCTGAATGAAAAAATTAAATAGCATTTTTCTTTGGGTGGTTCTGGGGTTTGAACTCAGAGCCTCACACCTAAATAACATTTTCACTGGAGGGAAATACACCTTGAGAACCTCATGCCCTTCTAGTATGCACATGACTCCTTTAAGCCTCCAGGGATCTCTTCTTGGGAAATTTCTTGAGATTGTGCCTACAATATATGTTTCGTATTTTCCACAATACTTGAAGTTGACCAAGGTACATGCAGGAGATGGAGTGCATCAGAAGTTGAGATGAAGGGGGACAGAAGTAAAAGGATTGGCTTATGACTAAGAGGAGAGAGAAGGCAAGCTAAAGGCCACACATTATTGGCAAGGGTGGGAAGATCCTTAGGAACTGCGTGAGTCACCCCCTCACTCCTTACAGCCCCATTTTAGAGTTCCTCCTCAGTTTATAATCCTTTTTTCTTTTCTTTTTGACAGTACTGGGGATTAAACTCAGGCCTTACACTTGCTAAGCAGGCTACCACTTGAACCATACTTCCAGCCCCTGGTTTGTAATTCTTAAGAGATGACATATCCTTGTAATGGGAAGAGAAAAATCACTTTCACCATCTATTGCTTTGCCTTTGTTTTTTAAATTTTTTTTGGTAACACTGGAGTTTGAATTCAGGACTTTCCACTTCTAGGCAGACAGTCTTACCTCCTGAGCCACTCTGACAGCTCATTTTTGTGATGGGTGTTTTCGAGATAGGGTCTTGAGAACTGTTTCCTGGGGCTGGCTTCAAGCTGAGATCCTCCTTGTCTCTGCCTCCTGAGTAGCTAGGATTACAGGCGTGAGCCACCAGTGCCAGCTAAAGGACAAATTTATAAAAAATTTAAAAAGCTACTTTTTCTGTAGTTCTCTTTTCTGGTCCTGGTTCTGCTTCATATTTATTTGTTCTCTCATTTCCTTCTAATTTGATCTCTATTTCTTCTTATAGCTTAATGGTTTTCTTCAGTTAAAAATTACACGAATTAATTTTTATGGTATAATTAATATGTGATTAAGAGTTCTTATATTTAATCTGACCATGAATACCAAAGAAAGCAGAATGATAATTGCTGAAACTGGTTTTTTGTTGTTTATTTATACTAAGATAAAATATTTTTTACTTTCAGTTTAAGATTATTTCAGAAGTTCGACAATTTCCGGATTCTTGTTTGTGGAGGAGATGGGAGTGTAGGTTGGGTTTTGTCAGAAATTGACAAACTCAACTTAAACAAACAGGCAAGTTCTAGTTAGTTATTATTTTTATTTGCTAGATGGCGTGAGTGCATAGTAACATATTTTCCAGAGAGGTGCAGAAATGTAACAGTCCTTGTTTCTCAACTTGTCTTGAAGTCTCACTGTTCATTCTCTTGTAGTGTCAGCTTGGTGTATTACCCTTGGGTACAGGCAATGACCTTGCTCGAGTTCTTGGCTGGGGAGGTTCATATGATGACGACACTCAACTTCCTCAGATTCTAGAGAAGCTGGAACGAGCCAGCACCAAAATGTTGGACAGGTAAAAGAGAACCCTCTTCTAAAACTAGGCTGAAAATGGCATACTGAAATCACTTTTTGGTAGTTGAAATTTGACTCTCAGCCCCACGAAGACAGAAACTTCCTCGTCTTGTTTACTGTTTGATCACTAAGATGAAGAATAGTGCCTGCACAGAGTAACTCTCCATACAGATGTTTTTTGAAAGAACTGTTAATAAACTGAAAAGCAATCCCAATGTCCCCATTATTTTGAAGATAGGAGACTGTGTTGGTACTACTTTTAGTTGCTCTTCAATGGAAAAAGTAAAGTAGTTAATTTTGGAAGGGGTGGGGTTTTTTTGAGTTTTAAAAGTAGGTCCCTATCATCTTGTGGTTTCAGCTGAGAAAGACATAAATAAACTGTAGATTTGATAGACTGTCTCCTTTTAATTATGTATATTAAGAATGAATTGAGCCAACAAAGAATTGAATATTAAAAAGAAATGAAAAGGATCCTGTCCCAGGGACCGGGAACTGTTAAGAAGACAGCTTTCAGTGAAGGAATTCACTGTGTTTATGCTGCTCTTGAGCACATCTACCTTTTATGTAGTGGTACTGGGTATTGAGCCCAGGGCCTTTTGCTTACCAGGCAACCACTCTAACACTTGAACTATGCCCCTAGCCTTTTTGTTTTTAATTTTGTGTTTGGGATAGGGTCTCCCTAACTTTGCCTGCACTGACTTCAAGCCCTCTGTCCTCTTCCTCTGCCTCTCAAGTAGTGGGGATTATAGATGTCACCACACTCAGCTGACCACATCTCTTAACTACTTTCTCTTGGAATGACCCATGCATAAAACAGAAATCACAATGTGTGTAGCCTGACTGCTGTGGAGAAGGTGTTCAGAGTTGGGTTTTAGGAACAACAGGATTCAGTAAGCAGTAATTACCCCACTCCCATGAGTAGAAGACAAATGTCAAAATATCATTACAGACTTGAGCTAGCATGCATCAAAACAACTTTGATAGAATTAGCCATCTGTGGAAATCTTCCCGAAAATAACAAAATCTCATCAGGGAGCCACCAATCTAAAATGTAATTACTCTAAGAGGAGCTGTAACCTAATTAATTGTAACCTTGTCTATCATAAGGTAATATTGTAATGTCTATTTCCTTTGCTGACAGAATATTTTAAAAAGAACTGGACAGTAGAACATTTGTCTATATTTATCCAAAATTACATGAAAGAGACACTCACTAGTTTGGTTGGATAATGGTTTATCGTCTAAGGTGGAGCTGGATTTACTCTGCAATCCTTAAAAACAGCTGGGGTTTAAAAAAGCCAGATGACTATGAGGTGATGGATGCTAATCAGCTTAATTGTGGTGATTTACTTTATGTATATCAACACTTCAAGTTACACACCTCAGATATACACAGTTTTTGTCAGGTGTACCTTCACAAAACCGGGGAGGGGAGGACTGGCAAGAAATCAATAAAATCACCACTTTTATAAAAGAGCCTGGAGGTGACTTCCCAGCCACCTGTCCAATTCTGTCCTTACCAGACAACACGAATGTGTTAAAGGATCTCTGTTAAATTTAATGGTCATTCCCTATGCATCCTTGGAAACTTTGCTGGGTGTTTCCTCTTCCCTGCATGTGAGCTTTTTCTTGTGTGTTATACAGAATTTCACTTCTCTCGGTGGTTAGTGGAGAAACAGCAACCTTAGGATGAGACTGTGATACCAACAGACATGCAAAAAACACACACAAAAAAAATCAAGCTGGATTCAAAACCTTAGGACCATTATTAGAAACAAGAATATCTTGCTCCTACGGTTTCTTTACGAATTTACTGTCTATAAAAAAAGAACAGGTTACTCTAGCAATCACAGAAAAGGTGAAAAAATGACTGTGCAATAGTCCACATTTTATAGGCTTTTAAATTTTTTTTAGTCTTTAAAACAACACTGGTGTTGCTCAGAAAAGTGTTGTTAGGACCATTTTACAAAGATGTAGGTTGAGGCTTCTGCAGACAGTGAGAGTAAAGACAACTAATTTTGTCTGCCTGGTTCTTCTAGTCTTATTTAGTCATCACTGCCCTCCTAGAGATAGAAGGAATGTTGTCATGCCATTTTCTTGGTAAAAAGGCTCAGGAAGTTTTGCTATAATGACAGTTACCTAGCTAAAAAGTGCTAGGACAGGCTTCTAAACCTGAATCTGGACTCTGGATCCCAGGGTCTTTTCTTAGCATTGCACTCTCTCCCTTTACAGCACATGGGCACAGACAAGTCCTGGCCTCCTGGCCTCCGACACTATGCAGGTGACACTAATATGCATCTCTGCCTTACTCCATCCTCGGTTACTGCCACTTTCTTCTGTTTCCTCGGCTCTAGCCATCCCATTGCCGAGGGAGGGTCAGCATTGAATGTGGAGACATTGGGTCAATTCTTTTCCATTTCCTTAGCTATCGTTTGACCAGAAAAGTGTTTCTAGCTTATAAGGACCTAGACTTTTATGTTTCCAATTGTACTTTTTTCTGTTTGGGTATTTGTAAATTTAATTATTGTGATTACTGTATTATCCTTGTGTGAGAACATATGCTTCATTGGGGAAGTCTTCTTTACTTCGTGTTTCTAGACCCTGTCTTTCATTATGAGATGTTCAGAATGTCTGTTTCATGGATGGACGGGTGGAAGGATGGATGGATGGTGTTCAAAGACATTTTTTAATAATATTTTCATGACAAGAATTGAATAGTAGTAACTATTCAGTTTATATATCCTAGCACATAGTTTGTGTTTATTGGAAGAGTTTCTGGGAATTTGGGTCTTTATGCAAAGATTTATTCTTGTTAGTCTGAATAGTACAGACGGACTTGTTTAAATATTAAACTTGGGACTTGCCTCTAGGTTCTATCATTGGTTTCAACTGTGTTGCATTTTTCTTAAAATTTGTGTGTTAACAGTATTGCTGTTAAAATGCTTTGTGTCTGCAAAACCATTATCTCTCATCTTGTTAGGCTACAGTAATGTCCTGGCCCAATTGTTCTTTCCAGATTTGGAAGTCATTATTTTAGATAGAAATCTAGAATCTTCCTTACTTAATTAAACACCAAATGCTTCAATGTAATTAATACTTATTGATAATTGAACTTAATTGGCTTGAATTATTATTTCTATTAATATTTTTCCTCAACCTCTGTTTACATTCATTCATTCCTTAAATTAAGAAGTGATGCTTACCTAATTTTAATTCATGTATGTATGTACAAGCTGCTTTGGCAAGAGTGTTTGGTACATGGGTAATGTTTTATTTTTCATATTGATCTATGATACTGTATTTTTCCTTCTAGGAAAATTTATCTGTTTATTTTATATTTTAAATCTTTGTTTTGTCATTAAAATCATGATTTTGTCAAAACTAAGGTAGTATGTATTTACTGACTCTAGGATATTATTTTAGAATTTTTGATTATGACTCATTAATAACTTAAAGTCTAGGTAGTAAATTGCAATGACCATTATTTAAAGACTAAAATGGAAAATAAAAAAAGCCAGAATGCACACTGCCCCTAATGAAAAGTGTGAAGTCCTGGTAGAGGTGAGCATTTCTTACTGTGACATGGTCTTAAAACATTTGGTCTTAAAACATATCACCACTAACTGGGGTGATAGTAAATGTGGAAATTGTAAAATAAGAATCCAGTGTCTTATGAGGTTTCCAAAGCTTCATCTCTTTCCTTTTATTAGGTTTTGAAATACAATAAAACAGTAGTCCACAAATGGTGTGTCTACATACATACATACATACGTGTATACATATATGGCAATAGTTTTTTAAAGTTTAAAGACATTTTGGGTAACAAATTTTCTCTCTTCAGGTGGAGTATAATGACGTATGAACTCAAATTGCCACCAAAGGCTTCTCTTCTTCCTGGACCTCCAGAAGCATCTGAAGAATTTTATGTAAGACTAGCCCTGGACCTATTTATCCTGTGAAGTTGTGGTGGGTGTTGTGGGGGAAATGAGGAAGCCTGTTCCTGACGGTAGTGGGAATATGCTTGCTTCATTTTAGTTCGGGGGTGTGTCTCACTGACTACCTCTAGTCTTCTCCTTGCAAGTAAAGACCCCTGAAGATCCAGGTTAGACTCCCGTGACCACCTATGCTGGGCATGTGACCTCACCCACGTCACTCTCTTGGGGGGCCTCACACCGCATCTGTGAAGCCAGACCACGATGTTGTGAGGATTGAATGACACAATGCTTGTGTGCAGAGCACAAGGCATGCCAGGTTCCCTTCTTGTGACCCCAGAGTTCTCCCTGAATATCCTGCTTGCTTCCTTTGTGCCAGTGGAGCTCCAAGGGAGGCCCACTGATGGCAGCTTCCTATCAGCTCCTACTCGTTTTCTTCATTGTCAAAGGCACCTGTTGATTACTAGGTGTTAGTCCAGATCCCTTAAGCAATCTCCAAATGTACCAATACTTGTAGCCAGAATATCATTTCACTTTTCTCTTACTGCTTTGCCTGCTTTCTGGAGGGGCGGCAGGACAGGGGTAAGCCTGTCAATCCAGAGAAAATAAAGGAAGAAAGGCAGCTTACCTCATTCTGTCCCTGCTAAAGACCACAGATGTCTAAAGTTTTTAGGCTTTTTAAAGATTCAGCATTCTGATTAAACCTCAAAGCCATGGAGATTTAAAACAGAGCCTGACATTCAGAGATTATTCTCTGACTCACTAAGGCCATTTGATCTATGATAACTTATTTTTTCCCTCCAGGAAAATCCATGTTTATTTTACAACTGAAATCTCTGTTTTGTCATAAAGAAAAGTATGATCTTGTCAAAGTGAAGACAAAGAATGATAGCTAACGACATGGGAAGCTAAAGAAGTTAATTGTGCTTTTAAAACTGTTTCTGGTATAAAAGTTAAAAAAAAAAGCTTCTAAAGCTTCTAAAATGGAAAATTATATGAAAAAAAAAGTAAAAATCACTGATGGTCCTCCGCCCATGGATGACCACTACTGAAGGTCCATGAATTTCTCACAACACTGTTACTTATAATTACTATTTCATCAGGCTGTAACCATCATACATGTTTTCATAGAAACTAATTTTTTCTCAGTAGTATTCTTATGTTATTAATTTTCTTTCCAAAAAGAAAAACAAGGGAATTCTTTGTCCTACTTATTTCAGAAATATCTATTTCCTAGCTCATAGTAAAGGTAGATAATTTGCTTCTAACGTTCATATGTGGTCACATTGTAAATAAGAACCATAATCACAAGAAATTACAAGGAAATCTCTACTTTTTTTTAGTACAAATGGGCTTTGCACCAGATAAACTATTGATTTCGCTTTTTAAATTTTTTATTATTTTCATTTATTATTAATTAATTATTTTTGAAGTGCTGGGGCTCTGAACCCAAGGCCTTGTATATGCTAGGCAAGTATTCTACCACTGAGCTACATTCCCCCCTTTTTTTAAATGTGTTTTTATAACAAAAGGATAGCAAACTTCAAGATTACAGATTAAATGAATGTTCTGTATGGCTCTGACCAAGGCCTTAACAGGCTGTGGTTGCCAGCAGGAATCCTCCATGTGTGACTTTTTTAACTTTGCCAACTGCAGTAAATGTAAGCTAAACTGGGCACACATGGCCCAGATCTGTAACCCCACCTTTTGAGGAGGCAAAGACATGAGGATTGCAGCCTGAGGATTTTTCTGGGCAAAAATGAGAGACCCTCTCTGAACAATAACCTAAAAACAAAAGGGTTAAGAGTCATGGTTCACATTTGCCTAGCAAGCACAAGGCCCTGAGTTCAAAGCCCAGTACTGCAAAAAGAAAAAATAAAACAACAAAAAAAGAACTAGACCTTCCTCTCAATTTGTTGCATTCCTTTGACTGAGGGTCTTAGGCAGGTTACTCATCCCACCTTAGCTTCAGGTTTGCTGGCTGTAAAACAGGACAATTAAAAGGTTAAAATATTAAAAGTGTGTAACTAAGTTGTCAGATTACTTAAACACTGACTCTCATTGTCACTATCCTCCCTGAACCTGCTAAGTGACTCTGTAGTAGGTTAATGAGTGACTTACAATTTTGTTCTTGGGCATAGATATTAATTTATTTTCCTCTAAAAGTGATAGTATTTTTTTGTCCTTGAATATCTTTAATGGACAAAAGACTTGTATTTTTAAATGTAAGTTTCAAGTGGCATTAATTAAATGACATTTAGTAATAAGTGAAACCAGCTGACATTAATTCATTTGTTTGTGGAGTTAATTATCACTTTAATGTTTTCTACCCTGCAGGGAAGAGAATAAAACTAATCTGAAGAATATTTTCCTTTTTTGTGTTTTTAGAAGATGCGTTTTCCTTTTTTTGGTCTTCAAAGTTTCTGGTGTTTAAACCAGGAGAAACATAAAGTGGATTCTGGGGTCAAAACAGTGTGTAACTTTGGAGTTGCTGCTTCCCTTCCTTTCTTTGACATAAAATTGCTTTTCCACCTGTCATCTGCCTTTGAAGGATTAAGATAGAAATTTAAGAGTCGCATGCTGACTAGCACGGGTCAACTTGAGTCTAAATTAAATGTGACATTCCTCTGGGAATTGAATCTTTAATTACTTTTTTTTTTTTTATGGTATTGAAGTTTGAAGTCAGGGTTCTGTGCTTGTTAGGCAGATGCTCTGTCACTCCCCCAGCCTATCATTTAAATTGGGAAATTCTGAGCTGTGTGACATGGAATATATTTGAGGCAAGTATTTCATGGAAAGCTCTGAATAGGAGGTTGTTTAAATATTGTGCATATTTTTGCATATCATGAGGATGTGGTCTTCCAACAGGATGTTAAAGTTTGAGTCAAATAGAGAAGGGGATGTCGGACAGTTTTGGCATGTTGATTTTTTCAGTATTGAAGAGAAACATTTATTTACATGATCGTATGATTACATACAGGATTGTATGACTGCATAGTTACATTAAAAAACATTTTATTGAGTAATATACATACAGAACAGTATGCCTATCATAGATGTATAATTTGACACGTTTTCTCAAACTAAACAAACCTATATAATTAACACTCAGCTCATAGGACAACATCCGGGACTCCCTGTTTCCCTTTCAGTCACCACCTCCCACCTCCTACCCATAACTGACGTCCTGACTAGTCACAGCCAAGATTAGTCTTGTCTGCTTTTGTACTGTATAAAAGAGATCATCTTGTGAGGGCTCTTTTGCTCTAGATCCTTCCGCTCTGCATTATATTGCGCATTCCCGTGACTCACTTTCTCAGTGACCTGTGACACTCCGTTGTGTGTCAGTTTTTATCCATTCCACTGTGAGCATTCTGGTGCATGTCTTTGGTGTACACACTTCTGCATTTCTTTTGGGTGTGTATGTAGAAGTTGAATTCCTTGGTCCTGTGAGATTATGTGTATGTTCAGCTTTAATAGACACTGTCAAAGGTGTTCCAGAATCTTCTTTGTACCATTTGGTGCCCCACCCCCACCCCCACTCCTTCACAGTGTGGGAGAGTTTTAGCCCACCATTCTGCTGACTCTTGACATTTTCCATTTGCTGCTGCTTTCACGTTGGTCATTCTGGTAGATGAAGTGATACTTTGCTGTGGTTTAGTCTGCATTTGCCAGAGGACTGGAGTTGAACGCCGTTTCCTCTGTGTGGATCATTAGGATATTCTACTTAAATTTCTAGTCTTTGCCCATTTTTTATTTGTCTGGTTTTTCTTTTTTTGGAGTTACTAGGGTTTGAACTCAGGGCTTTGTGCTTGCAAGGGTGGTCCTCTACCATTTGAGTCCTATTTCTAGTCCTTTTTGCTCAAGTTATTTTGGAGATAAGATCTCGCTTTTTGCCCAGGCTACCTAAAACCACTGTTCTATTTTATGTTTTCTGCCTTGCTGTGATGACAGATGTGTACTACAACTCCTGACTTTTTTCCATTTCAATGGAGTCCCACTAACTGTTTTCCCAGGCTGGCTTGGAACTGGGATCCTCCCGATTTCTGCCTCCCAAGTAGCTAGAATTACAGGTGTGAGCCACTGGCACCTAGCTTATTGTACTTAGTTTTAAGAATTCTTCTCATATTTAGGCATTAGACATCTAAAAAAATTTTTTTAAAGGTGCTTTTACTAAAAATACACAGTATAGAATTCCAGAAGCTGAAAATGAACATCACAGAAAGGAACTATTTATCTACTTCACATGACTCCTTTTTCATTTAGTGTCATCGCTCTGTGTCACCTGTCAGGAATGGCTCCATTTCTGAAGCAGTAATAACAGAGCTGCAGAAACCCCACCAGCAATAATAATACAGTGTAGGGTTTTTTTCCTTTCCAGATGACGATTTATGAAGACTCGGTTGCAGCTCACCTTACAAAAATTCTCAATTCCGATGAGCACGCAGTGGTCATATCGTCTGCCAAGTGAGTCATGGAATTTAAGCTTGAAGTAGTTGTATGGGGAACAGGAAAGGCAAGGGGCTTACTGCTGTTGACGTCATTTCTTTGTGATTTTTCTTCTAAAGAAATGTCTGTGAAGTAGCTTACAAAATTAGTTACACTAAATTTCAATGGATTTTTAAAAGTCACTTTATCATCTTATTTGTAGTTGAGTGTATTTAGAGGGTATGTTTTGCTGCTTAATTTGAAACATTTTTGTGTAAAAAGTGTTTAGAGTTTAATATAAATGTCTGTTGGGAGGTATTTATGGTTAATTATAAAATGGAAATCGTATTTCATTATCATCTGTCATTGCTATAAACAGTACTGTTTGGGAACTATTTATATTTGTGAAAGGAAAATAATGATGAAATTTTTCAAAATCACATTTCTCAGCATGTTTAAATTGCATAATTATATTTTAATTCAAAATTATCAGATTTTACATAAGTTGATTTGGTACGTGGAGCCAAATCTACTTGATGTTATTATCCCAAATGCTGCCTGGCTGGAATTTAGAATTTCGATTTGAAGCACCCTATCCTGATTTCACAAGAACTGGAAAATTGGCTGGGAGAAGGAGGTGAAACCAACAGAAATTTCTAACTGAGAAGCTAAAGAATGCTTTAAGATTCTGGCTTAGCAAACAGATATTGCTGTTATGCAGAAAAGAGGAGAAAATGAAAGGAAGAAGGAAAGAAGGGAGAAGGAAACAGTGAAGAAAAAATACACAAATTAATTTGCAATGAAGAAGAAAGATGAGATAATTCATTATGCGAGTTGACTTCTGACAGAAATACAAATGTAATGATAACTACATTTGGTGATAGATTTCTTAGGAACAGGAAATGGCACTGACCAATAGGAAAAGAGAAATGGCTTTTGGCAAAGGATGCACAGTGGTTGGTGCAGACAGAGATGGGCAACACTGTTTACCTGGCTGCTGGCTGATTTATGTTTGCCTAATGAATTGTGTTACTCTGTAGAAAGGTACACATTTTCAGTTTACTCTAGCTCTCCCTACTGTCTCTCATCCTGTGATTTGCCTGGTCCCTATAGACGTTTGGCTTTGCTATTCTTGCCTTGTGAATCAAATGTGTGTTTATAGGACACTTCAGAGGACATTGCTAGAAAAGATGAAATTGGAAAGGAAGCTTTTTAAAGGTATAACTAGTTATAAAAGAATTATTCCTTGTTTAATATTCTATAAATATTTTATCTAATCACCTTCTACAGTGTGGATATTATCAAAGCCTTTCTACTAACTTTCATGTTTAATCACATCGTCCTCGACATTTTATATACTTAATTAAATGGAGTTCATGTTAAGAAATTTGGACAGATGCTAACAGTATCAATATGATAGCCACCCCATCTCTATCATTTTTAGTCTTAATACAAAAGTAGCATAACACTCTTAACAATGGAAACTCATTTTAAAATACAATCTTGCACAGAATCCCAATATTAAAAAAAGGATACTTTTGTTTTGTTGATGTGAATGAATTGGATAAATTACTAAAGACATTCATGGGAAAAATTAAGAAGTAAATTCATATGTGAGAGGTATCATCTTATCTTTGATGCAGTTTCCAGTCATTTGTGTGTTTTATTCTGGTTACATAGTTGTAAGGACATTGTCTTTGGTTAAATAAGAAAGGCAGAAGATTCTCTAGCCTAAGATTTGCACAAAAACTAGTGAGTGTTAAGTCAGCATCACCACATTATTTGTTTGTAATGATCATGTGTATTTAAAATGCTACATTTGCAAGTGAATTCAAATTGAGCATTTATGGAATTGTTGAGGTATTTAGAGAACAGCTTAAAAACCACTGGTGTAAGTTGATCCCTGCTTGTGTGCTAGCTTTTGTGATCTATGTCTGTTTTTACCAGTGTAAGAATGGCAAGAATGTCTTCATTCCTCTTCATGGAATATTAGAATCAAGTAGAGTAATAAAATAAGTGTAGAGCATATAAACTACAAAGTGCTATATTAAATTATGCTATCATCACTTCATTTCACAATTATTTTTCAGATCTTTTTTCTCTGACCTTGCTTTGGCTCCTTGTCTAGGTCCTGCTAGCTTTAGATCTCTCGCTAGCCTGCTTTCTTTCCTTTGAGTGATTCCATTTCTACCCCGGTCCCCTCTTGTCACTCCTCACAGGCCTGTCTCTGCCCTGCCATTACAACCCCAGATTAAAAATTCAAGGTGATGTGCCTATAAGCAGTCAATAGAGGACAGAGTGTAATAATGTGTATGATATATTTTAAATTCTTATTTTTATGGACATTTTCAAACATACATAAAAGTAGAAAGACTGTTACAGGGCTGGAGGCATGGCTCAAGTGATAGAGCACCTGCATAGCAACTGTGAAGCCCTGAGTTCAAACCCCAGTGCCTCAAAAAGAATGAAAGACTGTAGTAACCATTTTCCATTACGCCATTACCCAGCTTCAGCATTTATCAGCATTTTGCATCTACTCCTCCCCTCTTATGTAGCTGCAGTGTCTCTAAGGAAATCAGTTTATTCTACGTTTAGTGTTATAACCTTTTTTCAGTATTTTTATTAATATATATTAGTTGTACAAGGGAGTTCCATTGTGGTATATCCACACATGCCTTACAGTGTACCCCAACCAAATTCACCCTCCCCCTCATTCTCTCTCCTCCCCTTCTTAAACCAATTTCAAAACGCTTCATTGTTCTATTTTCATACATGTGTATAAAGTTCTTCAGCCATATTTACCTCTCTTCACCCTCATTTTACCCCCTCACACTGGTTCTGCCCCCAAACAGAACCTGTTTTGCATTCCTGTCATTCATTTGTAATGACTAGATTTTGCATATGAGAGAGAACATGTGGCATTTGCCTTTCTTTGTCTTATTTCATTTAACATGATGATCTCTAGTTCCATCTATTTTTCCTGCCAGCAATACAATTTCATTCTTCTTTGTGGCTGAATTATACCATTGTGTATCTCTTCCACATTTTCTTTATCCGTTCATCTGTTGATGGGCACTAGACTGTTTGCACAGTTTGACCATTGTGAATAGTGCTGCTATAAACTTGGGTGTGCAGGTATCTCAACAATATGTTGAGTCACATTTCTTTGGAATACCCAAGTGTGGTATAGCAGGATCATATGGCAGTTCTGTTTTTAGTTTTTTAAGGAACCTCCATACTGATTTTCATAGTGGCTGCACTGAGTTACATTCCTACCAACAGTGTATGAGGGTTCCTTTTTTCCCTCACATCCAACAGCATTCGTTGATATTCATTTTCTTGATGGAATCTCAATGATGTTTGATTTGCACTTCCTTTATGACTAAGGATGTTGAACTTTTATTCATGTATTTACTATCCATTTGTCTTTCTTCTTTTGGAACTGTTCAGTTCATTTGTCCATTTACTACTTGTATTGTGTATTCTTTTGGTGTTTAGTTTTTGGAAGTACATATATATTCTGAATATTAATCCTTTATCTGATAAAAAACTGTCACAGATTTTTTTTCCCATTCTGTAGATTTTTTTTTTTTCATTCTGGTGTTTCCTTGACTGTGCAGAAGCTTCTCTGCACAGAACCCAAATTTCTCAGAAAATAACAAAAAATGAAAAATGGGATTGTATCAAATTATATACTCTTTTAAAAAATCTAATAAAACTAATGATTTTCTAACATCCATCAATATTAATCAATCAATGTTATCTCAAATGTTTCTTTAAAAAATAGTTGATTTGTTCAAATTAAAATCCAAGCATCGTTTACACATTGCATTTGGTTTATATGTCACTTTAACATTGAAAATCTGCAGTGATTTCCTTCTGCTGAAAAAAAAAAATCCTTAGGGAGTTTTGGTCAGCTTTCTCGGTGGCATAACAGAAAGCCTTTTATACAAACTTAAAAGGAGGAAAGATTTATTTTGCTCATGGTTTCAGAGGCTTCAGTCTATCATGGTTGGAAGGGTGGAGCAGCTCACAGTATGGCAGCCAGGAAGCAGAACAGTGGAGCAGTAAGAGAAAGAGACCAAAGCAAGATGTAGTTCAAAGGACATGCTCCAGGGACCACTTTCCTCCAGTCAGGCCCCATCTTTCATATTCTACCACTTCTCAATAGTCTGTTCAGATTTTGAATCCGTCAATGGATTAAACCATTCATAAGGTCAGAGCCCTTGTGATGTGCTATACTAATTTCCTAGGTGATTCTCGATTCAGTCAAGTTGGCAATCAAAATTAACTATCACATTGAGATAGGTATATTCAGTAAAGTATAGTATAGTAAAAAGCTAATTCATTCCTCCAGAATATAAGCATGGTATATTTCTTATAGATACGGAATTTGATAGATCATAAGATGGAGAGTTGATTCTTCCCACAATCTGTATGGCAAAGGCTCTCCTAAACTTCATATTCCTAGTCATCAGTTCTCCTGGCACAAGGTTCCTAGGCTTATGCTGCTCCTTCATCCTCTGTCTGCCTTAGGGATGTTGCACAACTGAGAGGGAAACCTCTGCTGCCCTTTTCACGCCTGGGCTGATGGACTGAAGAGCTTCTGTCCCTGGGAGTTAGTAAATACCACAAAAGTAGCAATGATAATGTTTTGTTTCTCTTTCACAAACCCAAGAGAAAATTCTGGTAAGTCAGACCAATAGGTTGGAGTTACAAAAAGATGAGAATGCTGGTGTCTCCTCTCTTGAGAAGTGGCACAACTTAGAGGAATCTTCAGTTCATGGAAGAAATTTCTTGATGGTCTGACTTCATATTTTAAGGAATTCCATAAAAGTACTATATGTCAACAAAGAAGAAAAAACTAGATGTAAAGTACATAAATGCATCTCTAGTGAGTAGCAAGCTAGGTTCTTTGTAGAAAATTGAATTTAAAAAGTCAGCCAACAGGTCCAGGGGTTTGGCTCAGTCAGTGGTAGAATGCTTGCATACGCCAGCACCAGAAAAAACAAAAAACAACCAAGCAGGTTGAGGGTTGGGATACGGTGCCTTCTGTCCAAGTGAATCTAGAAATGGTTGCCAAAAACAGCAAATAAAGCAAAAGTTGTTAGGAGTAGTGCATTTCTTTGCTTCACTGACAGTTGTGAAGGTTTGGAGTGTGTGTGTGTGTGTGTGTGTGTGTGTGTGTGTGTGTGTGTGTGTGTATCTGTGTATACTGTTCCTATAGAATGGCTTGATTTCGTAACATTTATGTGTCTGCAATCTACTCATCCATCAGAGAAAATTGTGAATTTAATAGAAGACAAAATGCTGGAACCTCTTCCCCTCTTCCTCAAATTTCTCAATCTATATCAATAATAGAGAGTAATTCTGTGCTTTCAAAATAATCTATTTCTATCAGTATAAATTCTGGTTAAAAAAGTTTTAGGAACTAATGATTCTGCTGGAGGTTGTTATTAAGTCCAACACCAGATTCATAGACTTTTGAAAAAGTCATTTTATTATTGTTTTAGGTTATTTTTTTCCTGATATCTTATTTCTATTGCAAAGAAACTGAATGTAACAAAAGAAACAAACAAATAAACCATATATTTCTGACACTAATGAAACTGAAATTAAATTAGTCTTGTATGCTATTGCATTGCTTGTCTTAAAGGGAAAAATGAGTAAGTTTACAGAGACAATAACTCAATTCAAGTAGCATAGTAGTTTGCAACACAATGCACAGCTTCCTCCCTGTGGAAGGACAGTGTGTTATCAAGATTCCCACATGACGAATAGTAGATTCAGTAGTGACATCAGTAATCAACTTATGTTTGTGCAACACATTTTCAGTTTTGAAATAGATAAGCTGTGGGAAATAGTGCATTACTTAAAAATGATCTAAAAGTACTCTTCTTAAGACTTTAAGTATTTGGGAAAGATTTATTTTAACCTTAACATTACTATAATTTAAATTATGGAGTGCAAGATTCATCCACATATCCATTTCTCACTTCAAAGGCCTCGAACTTATCTAAGATGTACTACACAGCAGATGGAAGTACAGACTTGTATACAAATGATCTGGCTATTTTGACAGTTTGTCTAATTGTGCTTATTTTAAAATATGTTTATAAATCGGAGCATGTGGGCTTCCTAAGTTTACTGAATTGTGCAATTTCTCTTCCTTGAAGGATACTCTGTGAAACGGTAAAAGACTTCGTTGCCAAGGTAGAGAAGGCATATGACAAGTCACTGGAAAATGCAGTTGTGGCTGAAGCTGTGGCTAGTAAAGTAAGAGAGCACTGGGGCATGACAGCTGTTCACTCACTTTGTTTTGTTTTGCTTTGTTTGCAGTATTGAGGTTTGAACTCAGGGCCTGGAGCTTGCTAGGCAGGTGCTCTATCACTTGAGCTGCTCCCCTAGTCCCGAACTATGCTTTAAAGCTAAACTGGCTAGGTGGTTTCTCTACCAAAATATCTTAAAACAAGAGAAAAATTACTTTTAAATCAGATACGAGGAATTAAAAAATATCCTAGCTTATGGTTACTCCTTAATATGTACGAAAACAGCATTGCTGGAAACCATCCAACAAACCAAATTTTACAGCTCAAATCCCTTCCCCAGTGTTGCCATTTTGAAGGGACATGCAGAGCAGTATGACCTCAGCGGAGGAGGCTATGTGGCTGGCGTCCCAGTGGGGACAGGACTGGGAACAGCCTCCATTTCCCAGTGGACTTTGAATGGTCCACTTCCCCCCTCCAGCAGGGGGCCTTGGACCTCTGGTCCTTGGTGTCTTGCAAAGTTCTTTTTCTTGCATTGCCTTTTCTTTACAGATATTTCTTCCCCTTCATGAGCTTTCTGATGGTAAGTAAGAATAGCTTACTGACCTTAAAAGCCACTGTCTTTACTTTCATAAGCTCATAGGAGGGCCTTTTTAAAAAAGGCTTGGGTACATTTACATTTGCAAAGAAATTGCTTGCTTAGATTCATGCTGGGTATGAGTGAGTGCAAGGAAAAGAAAATGAAACTAAGCACACATTGCAAGTGTTCAGCCTCTTTTTCTGCTCTTTGGAGAGTTTCAGAAAACAGAAACCCTCTCTTAGCCGCATTTTGTCTCTAACCTCTTTCTGCCCTGCTTTTGTCTTGACATCCTCAAAGACAGATGAGATGACTGGAGAGGGAAAGGGCTGGAAATGGTACAGTGATAAAAGGGATAGTAGGAGTATGTTCCTGGCTTCATTCCTGCACATTATTCACTCCTATTCAAACAAAAGGAGCAGAAGTCAGGTGTCAAGTGCTTGCTTTCCTTCTGTATCTCTCTTCTTTTCCCTCCTTAGTACTGTGCATTTTTCCTTGCTGTTTCTTTGAGCTAATAATCCTTTGTGCACTGGTCACTCCTTTGCAAACCAGCGCTTTGAAGACCAGCTTGAGAAGACTCGGCCACACCTGCAGTTAATGGTGCCATGAGCCAACTACTTTTTTAAAAGCAAGTCTAATGTTTTATATAGCATATTACTTTTGGGTGTGCTGTGTCACTTTACAGCAAAGTATTTGTCTGTGTTCTTTAACGGAAAAATACCTGCATAAATGAAAGAGTTTAAGTTGGCCGTGATAGTGCACACCAGTGATCCCAGCTCCTGAAGGCAGGAGGCGGGGCAGGAGATCAGAGTAGATGCTAGCCTTGGCAAAGTTAGTGAGATTCTATCTCAAAACATAAAAGCAAAAGGGCTGAGGGCATGACTCAAGTGGTAGCAAACACAAGGCCCTGGTTTCAATCCCCAGTACTGGAAAATAAATAAATAAATAAATAAGGTTACTCAAGACTTTTGCTATTTTGTTTTTCTTAAATGATAAATTATTTACTCCGTGGGTCTAAGGTATAAATTAGGTTACTCAAGACTTTTGCTATTTTGTTTTTCTTAAATGATAAATTATTTACTCCATGGGTCTAATATATAAATTAGGTTACACATCTAGTTAATAGTGAGATCAGCTGGGCATCGGTAGCTCACATCTGTAATCCTGGCTACTCAGGAGGCAGAGATCAGGAGGATCTTGGTTCGAAGCCAGCCCCTCAAATAGTTCATGGGACCCTATCTCAAAAAAAATCTCAACAAAACAGGGCTGGTAGAGTGGCTCAAGGTGTAGGCCATGAGTTTAAATCCCAGTATGGCAAAAAAAAAAAAAAAAAGCATCAGTTAGACATCTTTCCTCCAAATAAAAAGCCACTAAATTATAATTTCCATCTCCACTAAGTTTTTAAATAGATGCTTCCTGAGCCAAAACTCCTACAAAATAAAAGGTAATAACTCCTTGAATTTAGGTGTTTTTCTTTCTAGTGATTAGACCTTCAAAATGTCTTACATAAAAATTTCTTGTATTTCTTGTATTTGCCGATGTTACTTCTATTTGAGTTTCTTTCTCATTGCTGTATCTTTGATTTCTCAGTGCTCAATCCTAAATGAGAAGCTGGAACAACTGCTACAAGCCTTACACACAGACTCCCAGGTTTCGCTGGTCCCCCCAGGTATTGGCTCCGTCATCCTAGAGGAAGATGCTGTAGAATCCTCCAGCGAAGAGTCCTTGGGTGAAAGCAAGGAGCGGCTCGCAGATGACACTACGAAACACTCCCAGAGAGCTGTGAGATCCAGGGAAATTGTGTTGCGGGCCAACAGCTTAAAGAAGGCAGTGAGGCAAGTCATTGAGGAAGCCGGAAAAGGTACACGTTAACAGAATCCGCTTGGAAGAATTGCCAGAACGCTGTTGCAAGTGTGATAAAGGTTTCGTGATGGTCGGATGGGGCACACGTATAAAAAAACTTGGGATGGGGTAGAAATCTACTGAAAGGAAATTTATATTTGCTTTTATTTATGGTTTTGATAGGAAAGATCAGCATATAAATAATGCATGAAATAAAACCTCAGAAGTAAATTACTAAGGTGTAGCTCCGTGATAGGGTGCTTGCTTAGCATATGCAAGGCCCTGGGTTTTATCCCAGCACCACACACACACACACACACACACACACACACACACACACACAAGTAAGAAATTAAACTTGAAACATTTCTATTCTGTCCTAAGTACAAAAATCACTTAAATAACACTTTTAAAATTTTAAATATTGTTTACCTAATTGGAATCTGTTGAACTCTTTAAGGAAATCAAACCTGTACACGACATTGAAAATACAGCAGATATTTTTTTATCATTATTTTCCTAAATGTTCGTGTTGCTTTGCAGAATATATATAAGCTCTTCCTGAATTTCAATTTTTATAATAAGAGACTGTTTATTATTCTTACAATTTTTTGTAGTAGACTAAAAATTAATTAAATAGAAATAATGTTCAAAAACCCCATTATAAGTTGTAACTTATGTTGGACTTTTATTTCATTGTTTAAATTCTTATGTGTTTTTTTCATTCTGGCAAATGTATAGTTTCAACAACTTTATTTAGTTTTCTAGACATCACCCCAAGTTTGTTACCAAATAGTGCTTATTTGTGAATATGGACTTTTTTGGTATGTTTAAACTTTCCTCTCCTAAGCACATCTTAATACGAATGGGCTTTATTTTCACTTATCCAAACGTATTTATCTTCTTGCCACTTAAAGTCATGGACGAGCAGACAGCTCACCCCTGTGAAGCCCTTCACCCACCTTCTGATCACGACAGCACAGCAACAGACGAGTCAAAAGAAGAGGGCAAAGGTGACGACACAAGAGAGTTGGCCGCTGGTAAGAAAACCATGATGACCCCATTTGGGGCTTAAATGCGATGTAGTTTTGTTGTTAGTTTTCAAAGGCATGCAGTTTGAAGTAAGCTGTTGGTCTTTTTATTTTTGAAAAAGCTCTTTGAAAGTTAAAAGTCAGCTATTCATCAAGCCTAAAGTAATAAAAGTTACAGATTCTTTACACGATTATCCAGTGCTCTCACGTGTTCTAGAGATTGTATTGATAAACTAAGGAGTACAGAGTTAACGATGACCTACTGTCATCTTAGTTTTCCTGCAGGAAGAGGGAAGAAATATCTAAGTCTCCAGCTTTAACCTACTTCAGCCCTCGCACTCCTTTGAGAATAATAAGAAAGCCACAGAGCCTGTTATGTGCAAAATTTGGCCTTTGAATGATTCAGTAGTCTCATAAATTTCATTAATTGGTCTTGTAGGTTGATCATCTTGTCACTAAATTAAGCTTTGAAGTCATAGGACATCTAGTTTCAACCCTTTCTTTGCCAAAATTACTTTTGCCGGGGAATTATTACTATTGCTGGAAGAACATTAACTATTTCTCTACCTTTTAGTTTTCAATTGAAGATGAACATACACTTTTAATATTTCTGTTGATAAGCAGAAAGTTTCTAATTTATTGAGATAAAGCAAGGCAGAACTTGAAATTAACAAAGATAGGAGATAATGTGAATATAATGACATAGAACTCATCATAATTATATCAGCTCTTTTCAGTAAAAATTCATTACATTTTTGCTTTTACTTACATTATATGTAAATGTGGGCAGATTGCTGACCCTCTCTGTGGCTTTCCCAAAAATCTGTAAAATGGGGTTTATAATATGCCAATTTCATTGGGCTGTTGTGACAGCTAAGTGCCCAGACTGGTGCCCAGTACCCAGAGCTGTGTGAGTGCTTGCTGGGGTTGTCAACATTGCTACTGCTGCTGTCGACTGCATGAACTTAGAGTATTCCTTGATTGTGCTGAAAACTCGTAAAGACTTCTACATTAGGCTTTGTAGTTTCCAAGTGTTCACTCAATGTACAGTTCAGTTTATGCGTGTTCTAGAATTCTTGTGATAGATGGTCACTGAGGCTTCGGACCACTCAGTTCTGATGCATTCCACTTACAGTTGGCTCTGATTTTCAGATTATTCTGTACTGGAACTGGAACTCAGGGCCTCACTCTTGCCAGGCAAGTGCTCTACCACTTGCCATGCTCACCAGTCATTTTGCTTTTAGATTGTTTTTTAGATAAGGTGTCCTGCTTTTGTTCAGGCTAGCCTCAGACTGAGATCCTCCTATCTCTACCTTCCAAGTAGCTGGGATTACAGATGCATACCACCATGCCAGATTGCTTTTGAGATAGGGTTTTGGCTAACTTTTTGCAGAGCTAACCTACAACCAGGATCTTCCTGTCTCTGCCTCCTTAGTAGCTGGGATTACAGGCGTGTTCCACCATGCCTAGGCAACATTTGGTTATTTTCTGGCTTTGTCCACGTTATTTTGTCTAAGGACTGTATTCTAAAAGCCAAACGCAATTCTGGAACAAAGTTTGTTAACGTTAATGCTGAAAGTTACTCTTTATCTTGACCTTTTTTTCTCTTAAAATTCAACCCATGATTATGCCTATTACTAGCTTTTTTGGTTTTTGTTTAGTTTTTGGTGGGCCTGGGGTTTGAATTCAGGTCTTCATGCTTGAAATCATGCTTGAAAGGAAGCACTGTACAGCTTGAGTGACACCTCCAGTTCATTTTGCTCTGGTTATTTTGGACATGAGATCTTGGGAACTATTTCCCTGGGCTGGCCTCAAACCATTATGCTCCCAATCTCAACCTCTCAAGTAGCTAGGATTGCAGGTGTGAGCCACTGGCACCCAGCCATTATTAGGTTTTATGAATAACATTGACAGTAACAACTATTGGTATTTGTGTAGTACTTTATGAGTGGTTTAAGAAGCAGTTTTAGCTGGGTGGTGGTGCATATCTGTAATCCCAGCTCCTCGGGGGGCAGAGATGGGAGGATCACACTTAGAGGTCAGCCCAGGCACAAAAGCAGCAAAACCCAGTCTCAAAAACAAGTTGGGCATGGTGGCTCACACCTGTGATCCAGCTATTCAGGACGTGAAGGACTGGTTTTGAGGCCAGGTCTGGCAATAGCTCAAGAACGCATCTGAAGAACCACTCAGAAAGCAAATTGGACCAGGGCATGGCTCAAGTGGGAGAGCACTTGCCTAGCAGGTGCAAGGCTCTGAGTTCAGTGGCTGGATGCATAGATAGAGCTAGCTAGCTAGATATGTGCTTTCACACGTGGCATTTCAGGAATTTGCTCTTCCAGGTGCAGTCCTTAAATGATGCCGAGTATAGCTTTCATAGTGTCATGTCTCCTCTCTGCACTGATGTCTTCTTTTATACATGATCCGCCCCGGGTTTTTCCACCAGTCTTTAACTTGATTTTAGACCTTTTTGTTTCTCTGGTTGCATCCATTTAGTTGATGTTTATCTTAAAAAGTAATGCCCTGAGTCGAACAGAATTGCCTAGATATTTTCGGTAAGGCACGTTGATACACATTGCTACTCATTCCGCACATGTTGGTGTTGCAGAGCACTGAATTTTGTTCAAATTTAATTATAGCAGTTTATACTCATCCCTACGACCTTTTATCTTTTTGATTTGGATCTATCATTTCATCCTATCATAGCAAATTCAATTCATCTGTGAATTTGGTAAGCAGACTTTAGATCTATTAAAAATATCAACCAAGCCAGGCATGGTGGTTCATACTTGTAATCCCAGCATTTGGAAGGCTGAGGCAAGAGGAATACAGTTCAAGACCAGGCTGGGATACATAGAGAAACCTTGTCTCAAAACACTCATGTTAATGACTTTCCAACTAGCCACCATCCCATCTTATCATACTTTCATAAACTTGACACTTCCATTGTATTTAGAGGAAATTTAAAAATACAAAGGAAATTAGAGAAAATATTTTGAGATGAGTAAAAACAAAAGATACACAGTACCAAAACATTTGGTAAGTACTATGGATATGATTCAGGGCTGATCTCAATTTTTGCTAGTAAGCCAACTTACTGGAAATAAGTAGCAAGAGCAGAAGTATTTCTATATGTAATTACTATTTTTTAAAAATGAGCATGACTTTTGTTGAAGCACACTTACTGTATCAGTAAATCATGTAACAGCTTACATCTTGAGATGTGAGAAGTATGCTGTGTGATCAGTGATGTGCTTCATTTAAAAAGTACCTGAAGCACTAATTTAATTGCCTGCAATAGAACATCAATCTTAGTAATTAGTATACTTTCTGCTTTTTATCAGAGATCAACATAAAAGTTGTTTTTTATTAGAAATCAGCTCCAGAAGTGCCATCTGTCAAAGAAAGAAAGGAAAAAAAGAGTGGCTTTTCTGTTACTTTTCTTTAGTGTAACTGGACTGTTTTGAATAGAGAGAATAGAGTATAAGATTAATATAGTTAGTTAGTAATTAGGATGAGGGAGAGTGAAGATAATTAAGTTTTAGGGTACTTTTAAATTAAATTTGAGGATTACTGTTTTTTTTTTAATACCTACCAGCAGCCCCTAAATTAGTTAAAGGTACTATGTGCAACTCCATTAAATTGCCTCAGTTTAGATAGAATTAAATCTTCCTTTTTGTTGTTTTCTTTGAGAATAATTATGTTTAGGAATACTTTTTAAATGTATCGAGTTTTTACAAGACTGTCATAGAACTCTTTGGAGCAAATCATCATTTTGAATAAATAATTGAGAAACAGGAAAAATACATTGGTCCCCTTGATCATAAATAGTATTTTTCCTTCCATTTATGGAAGACAATATTTCTGCTCCACCTGTTAGCTCTGGGAGTCACATCAGTTAATATGGTCATTCACCCAGTGTGTATGAGAAAAGTGTTAGATTGGTAGTATACATTATAACAAATATGTTCCATTTTTAAAAACCATCGGACTCCATCCAGGTGCCAGTGGCTCATGTCTGTACTTGGGAAGCTGAGATCGGGAGGATTGAGGTTTGAGGCCAGCCTAGGGAAATAGTTCATAAGACTCCATCTCCAAAATAACCAGAGAAAAATGGACTCAAGTTTTGCCTCAAGCAGTAGAGCACCTACTTTGCAAGCACAGAGCACTGAGTTCAAACCCCAGTCCTACCCCCCCAAAAAAAAAATCAGGTGTCAATTTTTCTGTTTGTCTTTAAGTAGGGGTTGATCACATGCAAATTAATTGTGATAGACATCTGTTTATGATCTGAGATCACAGCATCTACCTTGTCAAATAGCTCTCTGTATGTCTCGAAAATGAAAACAAAATAGTGAAAGAACAGGTAAATACAATTAATATTTTTAATTCCACTAACTGATTTAAACAGGCATCCAGTTATTTCATGTCTTGAATTTGGAGGGGATTGTTTAATTTTATGTCTTTATCATTATCATACCATTATAAATGAAAATAATATATAATTAAAAAATAATATCACTATTATTTTTAACCTGGACTTTTTGCCAACAGCCAAAACTGCACCTCGGTCTCCAGATGCCCGGGCAAGTCGTGGCCAGTCCCAAGCTGACTCTGTCCCTGGTTCAGCTGTGGCAGCCACCAAAGAAAACCTCCCTGTGCTCAATACCAGAATAATTTGCCCAGGTAGTACAGACTCTGAAACATGGTGTATTTTCTATGAAAATGTGTAAGTCCTTGTTTCCATGAGATATAGAAATGTGTTCTTTTCTTTTTGGTGGTACTGGGGTTTGAACTTTGAGCCTTGTGCTTGCCATTCAGGTGCTGTGCCATAGCAGTGTGATCCTAAAGATAAATGTTCCTTTCAGAGAATGTTCTTGGAATACTTAGCAGTAGGAACCCAGGTCTTTAGCTTCTTCTGTGCGTAATAATTGACTAGGAAGTATTCAAAGACATGTTTCCCGGCCCTCCCCTGAGAAATTAGAATTCATTTGTTCTAGGGTGGAGCCCAAGAATCTATTTGTTAAGTACCAAGGTAAATCTGATCCTATATTCCACAGCCTGTAAGTATTTCTATGTCTTTCCTTTTGGTTTTAAGCCACTAGTCTCTGTCAACATGTATAGCCTAGTAACATTGCTTTATTTTTAAACCTCTGATGCATCTGTTGCAGCCCTGATGAAATAACTTGTGCTGGGTTAGGCTGGCAGTGTAGAAGCCAAAGGACTGTGGGTGGGAGATGGAATAAAGTACAGCCGTCTCAAAGGCTTCCTGAAGCACGTATTGTTTGAATGCCTGAAAATCTGTCCACTCCACGCAGAGCAAGTGAAATCTAAGGCCAGACTTGCCAATCAGCTGATTTTTGCTTTATTTTTCAGGTAGAGACTCATGTTTTTGCCTAGGCCAGCCTTGGGTCGTGATCTTTCTACCTAGGCCTCCCACACAGCTGAGGTGCTAGGCATGCTCCACCACACCTGGGTTATTTGTGAAGATGAGGTTTTGCTAGCTTTTTGCCCAGGCTGGCCTCAAACTGCGATCCTCCTGATCTCTGCCTCCTGAGTAGCTGAGATTATAGATACAAGCCACTGTACCCCATCCCCCTCTGTTGTTTTGTTTACTTACTTGCTTAGACATAAAGGGTATTGGTATGGTAAAGTATGTAGAGCATATTCAAGACTATGAAATTAAATCGACAATAAAATGAATTTTGATTATTTTATACTTAGCTAAACATTACTGAAAACATTAGTTAAAATAATGATTAATAATGATCCTCGAAGAGGAGCACATTGGGCAGAACCTTTTGCAAAAGATGCTGTTTCTAATTTCTTGGTGTTTCTCAACTGTGTGCCATGCTTTTGTTCTCTAGTCTGTCCTTTTTTGTTCATTCCTTCAGTCCCTATTACTTTGTCTTTTGTCAGACTTTAGTGTTTCTTGTCTTTATTTTAGGTTGAGTAGATCAGAAATTTTATTAGCTTTGAATACCATAGTGAATTAGTGGGAGTCATGTTGAAATAAATTCGAAGTTTTGAATATTCAGTGGTAGGATGGGTACTTCATTTTTCTTTATTCACTACTCTATTCTTCTAAATCTCATAGATACCTTCACTTAATATTTTGCTTATTCCTAACAGCAACACTGAGTTTCCCTTTAATAGAATTCAACATTTTAAATTATTATTTCTGTGTGTTGGGAGTGTGAAAGTGTTAAGTCCATGAGATTATGGGTAACTCAGCCTTTATTATAAATTCCTCACAGACTTATTGCACTGTTTGCTATAATAAAAGAAGCAACATAGATTTTTTTTTTTGAAGTTGTAGAATTGCTGGAAGGGTGAGTGAGAAAATGTCAGAGTCCCCTGTTAAAGTCTTTATCTCCTTAATGCTTTTGACGACCCGCAGACACTTGGAGGTAGGTACAAAGGCCTTGTTCATCAGCCTTTGATGAATGTAGGGAGTAGGCCCTGAACACCATCATTTTGGAGTGAGGTGTGTGAGGTGAGGCTGGAACCTGGTGTTCTGTCCCTGCTTTCTCCTAACGTGTGCTCCTGTACCTGTTCATTTTGCCATTCAGGTTTAAGAGCGGGACTAGCTGCCTCCATCGCTGGGAGCTCTATTATCAACAAAATGCTACTAGCAAACATCGATCCCTTTGGTGCGACACCGTTTATCGACCCAGACCTAGAATCCCTGTAAGAAAATACTTTCAGAATTCTTTTGTTTTGGCTTTTCTTGTCTTTGTCATATGTTAATTGTAGCATTTTTTATGTGTCACAATCCAAAAGGGGTGGTAGGAAAATATCAAAAGTTGATGCTGGTGAGGACACTGACCCCTTTGAAATTCATTGCTCTCCAAGGCCAGTCCCCAAAGCAGGTCTCCTTCCTGCCTGCTCTTCTGAGAGGGATACTCTGGCAAAGGCCCAGCTCTACTTGCTCTTCACTGGAGGCTTTTCCTTAATGGTTTTATGACATTCTCCTTAGCTCCTTCCTGCCAAATCTGCCATCTTTCCACATCCAGCTTCTGGATTTACTTATTTTGGGAGTTCTGGTCCACATTGACCTTGTCCTTCCTCAAAATTCTGGAAAATAGTTTTGGCAGCTCAAGATACATTTCTTTCTTTTTTTCCTTTTGAGATGGGGTTTCTTTATGTTGCCCAGGCTGGCCTTCAACTGATGATCCTCCTGCTTCAGTCTCTTGAGTACTGGGATTACAGGCATGTGCCATCATGCCTGGCTTTTTACTTTCATTTTTAATTTTGCTTTTGTTGTACCTTATTTCTGCAATGACATTCCTCACAGCACCATATTTCTAACCTTCAAAAATATTTAGAAGAATGGATTGAGTTTAGTAGGTATTTTGCTCAATGAGCATTTGCCTTTTATTAAGAGTTGATGTGGAGGAGACTGACCTCACATCAGGCACCTGACCCTAAGACTCTCCCACAATCATCCTGATGTGCCTTTGTAAGGAAGTAGAAAGACAAAGACTTTGTCAAGGTTAATAGTAAACCAAACCAGGCTGTCTCTGCTTTGCCTCGCCTAATATCCTATTATATCACATGTACTAAAAAAAAAAAAACTGCACACAGGTACTGTAACACACCTGACCTTGACTCCTGCTAAGCTTCAAGACCTTCTGTGAGGAGTGGAAGCCTCAATGGTTTAAGTGCTATTTTGTGAACAAGTTGTAATGAACCTGAGATTGACTTTTATATAATCTTCCTTATCATAGAGATGGATATTCAGAAAAATGTGTCATGAACAATTACTTTGGGATTGGATTAGATGCAAAAATTTCATTAGAATTTAATAATAAGAGAGAAGAGCACCCTGAAAAATGCAGGTAATTTCAATAATAATTATAATAATGTTATTACACAAAGCAAATTTTACTTTAATTTCATTTATAACTGCTTTTGCTTGCTTTCCTTTAAAATAAATAAAGTAAATAAATAAAATTTCCTGAGATTGCCCTCCAATATTTATTTTCAGGAGTCGAACTAAAAACTTGATGTGGTATGGAGTCCTTGGGACCCGGGAATTGTTACAGAGATCATACAAGAATTTAGAACAAAGAGTTCAACTTGAGGTGAGTCCGTTGTGAAGTAAAGACATTTCAAACTATCTTACCTAGGAAAACAATTTCTTTGGTAGAGCTAATTTGACCTAAATTCCTCTTGACTAGTGATTAAATCTTCAAGGAGGAAAAATGAAAGTGATTATCAGCTTTCTACTAAAAGAGGTGTAGGCACTGTCCCATCATTACCATTCGATCCTGAAATTGGGGCTCTCTCTGTACAGTAGTAGCACCCCCTGAAAAGGTGAAGCCATGGACCCCTTCTACAAAGATTTTAAATGCATTTATAAACTATATAGACTTAGAAGAGGAACCAATAGTATTAAAATATATTAACAAAATATTTTAATAGAAAAATGCATTATTCTACTGAGAAATTAATATTCATTCATTTACAAATATACATTGAGTACCAGCTATATGCTGGCTGGAAGAGTGTGGACCTTTGTTGAGAAATACTCAACCTGTGTTTGAAAAATTAGATAAAGGCCTTTGTACTGTGCGGGAATGTATTCAGAAAGAGCAGACATTACCAAAGCAGTCTGCTTCTCACCCTTTGTCTTTGGTATTTTACTATCTTTTAAACTAATGGTTTTGCTCTCTTTCTGTCTAACCTCCAAGCTTTTTACCTTGCAGTGTGATGGACAGTACATTCCTCTCCCTAGCTTGCAAGGCATAGCCGTGTTGAACATCCCTAGCTACGCCGGAGGCACTAACTTCTGGGGTGGGACCAAGGAGGACGATGTAAGTAGCATAATCAGAATAAAGAGCTTGCTTTCTCAACAATAATTAAGTTACTGGAATATCTTGCTTTTTATAATGTGCTTTTAAATATTAATTTACTTTCATGTTATAATATGTTACATTGGGAAGTTGGGAAGTAGAATAGATTTATTTAAGAATTTATTTCTTGAGCCAGGCATGGTGGCTCTTGCCTATAATCCTAGCTACTCCAAAGGTGAAGATCAGGAGGATCATGGTTGAAGGACAGCCTGGGCAAAAAGTTTGCAAGACCTCATCTCAACCAATAGTTGAGTGTGGTGGCTTGAGTCTGTCATCCCAGCTAGGTGTGAAGCATAAATAGAATGATCACAGCTTAGACATGTCCAGGCATACACATGAGGCCCTGATTCAAAAAGTAACGAAAGCAGAAAGGGCTGCGGGTGTGGCTCATGTGGTAAAGTGCCCGCCTAGCAAGCATAAGACCCTGAGTTCAAACCCTAGCATCACAAAATAACAATTATAATGATGATAATCAATACAGATTTATTTCCACAATCCTTCATGGATATATTCTAAAATTTCTTTTCCTGAGATGTAGGTAATGATTTTCTGGGTAGACACAAAATCTACTTAGAGAAAGTAAATAAAGGGAAGTTTTTACTTCTTAATTTCACACCTGTGTTAGTTTTCTACTGCTGCTATAACAAGTCAACACAATTTAGCACCTTAGCACATGTGTATCATCATACAGTTTGTGGTTTGTGGTAGAAGTCTGACATGGTTGCCCTGGGTTAAAAATCAAGGTATCGGCTGGGCTGTGCTCATTTTGTGCTCTCTGGAATATTTTATTTCCTGCCTTTGCTGGCTCTTAGAGGCCGCCCTCATTCCTTCCTCTATCTTCTGTGCCAACAAAGGGAAGTTGAATCTTCTCATGTCACATAGCTGAGGCCTCCTCTCCTGCCTTCCTCTTCCACCACTAATGACCCTTGTGAGGACCCTGGCCCACTCAGAACATCCAGCTCAATCTCCCCAGTCAGGGTCCTTTAATTTAGTCACATCTACAAAGTTCCTTTCGCCATGCAAGGTTACATATTCACTGGTTCCAGGAATTAGCACATGGGCATTTTTGGGATAGAGAGGTGGGCATTATTTTGCCCATCACACTCACTTTCTGTGCTTTTAATTTTCTAAGTTTATATGTACATTAATACTATTTTTAGTTTTAGAAATATCAAGAGAGCTCATTTGGCCAGTAAGGTTTAGGGCTATTTTTGTTTTCTTTTTATTCTTCTTTGTATATTAAAAAAGAAAAAAAAATACAACCTCATAAATATAATTTTGTGAAAAGAGAACACAATTCTTGAAGTAGCTATAAGGATAAAAATGAGGTGTTGGGCTGGAGGCCCCCCACCCTCTGGTTATTTTGGAGACAGGGTCTGGCTTCCTTCCTAGGCGTGTCTAGACTACAGTCATCCTATCCTATTTTACACTGCCTGATGTAGCTGGATCAACAAGCGTGTGCCACCACACCCTGCTTTCCTCCTGTACTGTTAATCTAAACTTTACCACTGAAAAATGGAGGCAAAGTTTCTATAATTAGTTAGTAGCCGAGGCAAGGTTTAAATTCAGGCAATCAGATAGCAAAAATTTTGAGAAATATCAGTTTTAGAAAATTCATATTCTGATATTTTCAATGAAAATTTAATTAGGATACTCCTTTATACTGATTTTTTTCAGTCATATTTATGATATAATAAAGGAGATAGTAAAAAGAATAAGGTAATATAGCATAAATTGGACTTTCAGAGTGCATTAATTTTGTGAACATGCATCTAACATAAGGGCCAAGTGAGTCACGTGTTTTTGTCCTCCGAGGTGTCTGTTTCTGTTAGGTTAAGACATAAGGCACGTGTGCATGTTGACACCTCATCAGATCACCCTTAAAACATTCCAAGTGGACAAGATCGTAAGCTTTAACTTTGTGAAACACTATCACCTTCTGGGTTTTTTTTAGATTGCTAAAAATTGCCTATATTCCCATATCAGGATCTGAGTTATGTGTGGCAAGTATTTAACATGTTTATACCTGATGAACCATTTAAGAATGCATTAGTCCACAGAGTGCTTTATGAGAGGCCTGAGTATTATATCCATGAAGACACCAGACCTTTTTAAAAGTTGGATTTGTTTACTTAAAGCTATCTTCAGTGATTTTTTTTTTGATTGTCATTTTCTAATGCTTACTTTGTAATGTTTTTCAGTATAAGTATGTCACAGGGTTTACACTGCTGGCTGGGCTACTGTATCTGAGCCTTCCAGGGAAAGGTAATATGGTTATTCCTTTCAGATATTTGCTGCACCATCCTTTGATGACAAGATCCTGGAAGTCGTTGCAGTATTTGATAGTATGCAAATGGCAGTTTCCAGGGTCATCAAACTGCAGCATCATCGTATAGCTCAGGTTGGTGTCTCTGATCAAGCCTGGCCACAGTTCTTGGGCTGCAGAAGGTTGGGGAAGCTATTCCAGATGACGGTACACTAGACATGCTTTTATAAAATACTGTCTTTCTTGTCATTTCAGTTGTTTATGTCATCATAAGTGGCAAAGCATAGCATTCCATTCCACGGAAGTGACTAGAAGTCCAGCTGCACACACACACAGCAGGTCAAATTCTCGGGGTGACTTGCACTCTAACATGACGTGTTTCTTCTATTTCAGTGCCGTACGGTAAAAATCACCATATTTGGCGATGAGGGAGTCCCAGTGCAGGTGGATGGAGAAGCATGGGTTCAGCCTCCAGGGATTATCAAAATTGTGCACAAAAACAGAGCTCAGATGCTGACAAGGGACAGAGTATGTAGCAAAAACTCTCCAGAATTTTATCAAGCTGCTTTTAAAACACCTTAAGTTGGTATGAGAAATAAAAAGACTGAAATCTGACTTTTAGATTGTGTGGTTTAACTATGAACAAATGTTCATTTTGTTTTATTTTAAATGTTAAACAATTTTTAGGACAATTTCATAGAAAAAATTGAGCAGAAAGCACAGAGAATTCTGTTCCCTCTCGCCCCCTACACATGTCAATTAACATTTTGCATTAGTGTGGCACATTTGTTACAGTTGATAAGCCAATATCAAGATATTATTATTAAATGGAGCCCTAGTTGACATTGCTGTTTGTATTGTATGCCTGTGGGTTTTGGTAAAGTATGAAAACTTGTTTTTTTTATTTCTGTGAAACAAAGAGTCGGTTTGTTGAAAAGAAAAACAAATTGAACTTCTTGACAATAAACTTTGTATCGCTTTTACTTAAGTTTAGTTTAACTAATTCATATAAACAAAATTCTACATATAAATGACAGCATATTTTGATGTGTGGATACATTGTACAATGTTTAAAATAGGTAAAATGTATCTATTTCCATAACCATCTCATTTCTTTATGGTTGTTAACCTTCAAAATCCCTAGCTTTTTGACACATACAGCACATTGTTATTGTCTATAGTCATGTTATTTAATAATAGCACAATAGAAAGTCTTTTTTATTGTGCTGGGGGTACATTGTGGCATTTACAAAAGTTCTTACAAAGTATCAAATATATCATACTTGAATTCACCCCCTCCGCCATTCTCCTTTATTCCCCCTTTCCTGGAATAGTTTCAGCAGCTTTCGATTTTCCATTTGCATCCATGTGTGCACAGCATCTGCACCATATTCACCTCCCATGCCCTTTTCCCCCCTCCCCCCCCACCAGTACCACCCCCCAGATAGGACTTGTTCTGCCCTCCTGTCCTCTGATTTTCTAAAAGAAAAAAGTGACATTTTTATTTGTTTAAGATAGTTATGCAGGGAGTTTCCATGTGACATTTCCATGTTTCTATGTATTATAGCCTGAATTAGTATGAACACTTGTATCCATCACTGTACTTCCATACAGAATAGGTTCACGGCCCTAGAAATTTCTGTACTCCACCAATTCATCTATCCCTGCCCTACCCTTAACCCAGGCAGTTACTGGTCTTTCTACAGTCTTCCCCAAAATGTGTGTTTTTAATTACGATCAACCCTTAACAAATAAGACTAACAATATTCATACTAGCTAGTAAAATAGTAAAGATGAAATAGTAAAATAAAATAAAAATAAGGATTGAAGCATAAACTGAAAAAGACTGAAGCAGAAAGCTTTTTTATTAACTTTTTGGGGATATGTTCTTCCTCACTGATCACATGACTTTGTGGCAAAACACTAGGAAGCTTTAAAATGTCTTTTTTAGAATTCTCATTTATTTAAAGAGGTGTTAGATTGGAGAAGAAGTAGTCGCGGTTTCAAAGATTTTTCTATAGTTTCTAAACACACACGCTCCTGGTCTCAGCTCTCAAGTAACCATTCACTGCAATGCTGGTTTGGAACAGGCCTTTGAAAGCACGCTCAAATCTTGGGAAGACAAACAGAAGTGTGACTCTGGAAAGCCAGTTCTTCGGACCCACTTGTACATCCATCACGCCATTGACCTGGCAACGGAAGAGGTGTCGCAGATGCAGCTGTGCTCCCAGGCTGCGGAGGAGCTCATCACTAGGTACCATGCTTCTGAGGGCCTTTCAGACCGGGAGACTCTGGTCTTACTTAGCCGATTGCTCTGTTTGAATTGTTTCTACTGTTGGGGTGTCAACAGGAATGCATGTGCTCTTCTCCATTTGCTGCCTTGTGTGCTGACACCCCATATACACACTTGGTCTCCACAGTCCAGATCTTACACATCGTGAAACTGGGACTAACTTACACTGTTAAACAGTTCTCTTTGAATCATTCTTTCCCCCTATATGTATTCATTATATTATTATACTCCCTACTTTCATGTGGCCTTATATTTGTTAATTAAATGTTTATACAATGTAGAAAGAAGTCTGAACATTAACACTATTCTCAAGAAAGCAGGCAAACGACAATAACAAAAAGAGTCCTACAACCAGTTTCTGACAAATAGATAACAGAGTTAGAGTCCACACATAAATTAATTTCAGTAGATAGAAAGGGAAGAAAATTTCTTTTTTTGTTTTTGGTGGCATTGGGATTTGAACTCAGAGCCTCATGCTTACTAGTGCCTCTACCACTTGAGGCACTCCTCCACCCTTTCTTTGTGTTGGGTATTTTCGAGATAGGGTTTTTCGAACTATTTGCCCGACTGGTCTCAAACCACTGTCCTCCTGATCTCTGCCTCCTGAGTAACTAGGATTACAGACATGAGCCACTGGCATGGTACCTGGCTAAGGGAAGAGAGTTTTCAAAAATGAGTTCTGTGAGTATAAAAGAGATGAAAATCACTACAGAGTGACTTCAGAGAGACATGGGCAAATTTCTTCACCTAAATCTTATCTACTAAGTAGAGATAATAAATGCTACTTCATTGTGAGAATTAAATGATACCTTAGAGTAAAATGCATCCTGCCTACCAGAAAGAGGAGCAGATTTCAAATGGAAAATCAGGGCTGAGGAGTGGTTCAAGTGCTACAGTGCCCACCTGGTAAGCTTTAGGCCCTGAGTTCAAACTCCATTGCCGCCAAAATTGCAAAGGAGAAATGATGGGTTCCATGTTTAACTTAAGAACTTAAATTACATTAGAAAACATTTACCCAGCTCTGTTCTTCTGATGGACTATCCATGGATTCCCAAGATTGTTGGTATTAATTGAATATTAATTTTTTGATACTTAAGAAGTACACTTTTAAATTTTTTTTTTTTTGTGGGTCAAATCCAGGGCATTGCATGAGCTAAGCAAGCATTCTACCACTCAGCTACATTCCAGCCCTTGCTTTTTTGAGACAAGGTCTCACTGTGTAGCTCGGGCTAGTCTTGAACTCACAATATAGCCTAGGCTGACATCGAACTTGAAACCCTCCTGCCTGAGCCTCCCAAGTGCAGGGAATACAGCCATGTGTCATCCACATCTGGGAAGAAGTAAACTCTCTTGCCTTTTTTGTTTTTTCCATTGGAAGTACTGGAGTTTGAACTTAGGCTTCGTGATTGCTAGTAAGGTGCTCTACCACTTGAGCCATCGCCAACCCTTTTTGCTCTGGTTATTCTGGAGATAAGGTCTTGCTTTTTGCCCAGGCTGGCCTCAGACCACAATCCTCTGGATCTCAGTCTCCCAAGTAGCTAAGATTACTAAGAGCTACTGATGCCTGACTTTCTTTTATTCTTGATTCCAGTATTGTTGGGCTTCTGTCCTTTTTCTGTTGTATCCTTTTTAGGTTGAAGGTCTTTCTCCTTGAAGTTGTCTAAGCAAAAAGTGTTTGACAGTCCTGCCTTCTTGCTTATATCTGCAAACCTTATATCATTTTCTAGCTATCGGTGGAGCTCTGCCACCTGTCTCTTCTTTGGCCTTAGTGCCTTCCAGAATTTAGTGTTTCTAGAACTATGGCTAGAGGTTTGAATATCAGAGGAGCACAACAGGCTTTGAACTTGGATAAAATTTACACCTGACTCTTCCACTTCTTTGCTCTGCACACAGACTCAACTCTCCCAATCTCACTGTTTCATCTAGAAAGTAGAGAAAATTAATACAGCTACATTTTAGGGTTGTGAATATTAAATTAGGTAATGCCTACAAAACACTTAGCATGTAGGTGACAAATGTGGTAACACTCGTCCTCTAATATGTTGTATTTGAAGTTTCAATGAATAAAAAGATAAATTTCCAGGCTGGAGTATAGCTCAGTGGCAGAGTGTTTACCTACCATGTACAAGGCCCTGGGCTCAGTCCTCGGTACCACACACACACACACAAAGAGATACATTTCTATCTGTATTTGTGACCCTTGTCACTTTCCAATAAAACTTTGAAATGAAGTTTTAGTATATTTTGTTGGTATTAATTTAAAATGTTTGTCTTTGATTATAAGCATAACTTTTTTTAAAGACTGGGTCTCTCTATGTAGCCCAGGATGCCCACCAACTCATATTCTCCTGCCTCTATCTCCTGAGTGCTGGGATTCTAGTTGTGTGTCATCACACTTATAATCACTATCTTAAGCTTGACTTTTTATATGAAGAACTTTTACTTAATATCCTTTCTTGCAATGAGATTTGAATTTTGTAAATCTACCCTGTCCCATCCATAACTGAGCAGCCACTTAAATTTTTTTCTCCTTACTGATCTTTATAGTTTTAAATTAATTTATCCTATCACTTCTACACTTTAAAAAAAAGTTTTCTGTTCATTTTGTTTCATTTTTGATTCAGGATTTGTGACGCAGCCACAATTCACTGTCTTCTGGAGCAAGAACTGGCCCATGCTGTGAACGCATGCTCACACGCTCTGAATAAAGCCAACCCACGGTGCCCGGAGGTGAGGCTCTAATGGTAAATTCTCATTCCACAGATTCTTTTGGTATTACTCCTATGTTTTGATGCTGTAAAGTATGCCAGACCCTGCCTGTAAAAGAAGGTTATGGAGTCTCTCTGAGTCTTCACTAGAGCATATAGTAACTTCGTGGCCAAAATGTTGTTTTCCTTTTCCTGCCAGTTTTCAACTCCTGCCCTTAAATTCTCTCCACGCTTTTCCGTTTCACTTTCACTCACTCATCTACCTGGTCATCTCCCTTCAAGCCTTTCTCCTTTTCACTACTTCCATCTTTCCTTATTTCTTCATTTACCCTCTCCCCTGCACCTTGAGAGGGCAAACTTAGAAGTCATCAGTGCACATCTTACTAGAGGTAGTCACTCATTTTTTGACACTGTGCACTGAAATTATTCTTACTTCATTTTATTTTACTGAATTGTAAGTTGATGCTGCTATAAAATTTTAATGTAGAGTTTCAGAGTAGAGTGGATAGAATATAACTCTTGAGATGTGAAGCATGGTACAATGAGATGGTGTAGAGAAGACTGGCAGCATTATTTCATTCTTTTAATTATTCAGCTGAATAATTGCTATTTGATGATTAATAAATTAATATTCAGGTAAGATTACAGTCTTAAGAAGTAATGTGGTTGGAACTACTGAATGTGAAAGCAGTGAGAGTTAACTACAGTTGACCCTCGAATAACTTGCCAACCCTGCACAGTTGAAAATCTGTGCATAACTGAACTCATCCCAAACTCAAATACTAATAGCCTGCTCTTGACAGATAACATAAGAGTCAATTAACATGTTTTCCCATGTCCTGTATTGAAAATATGAAAAAATATGAGACCACTTTGTGCTGGACAGACAGACTACTCAAGTAGAGATGACCAGCATTTCATGTTGCTTTTGTTTGTTTGGGGTATTTGTTTTTGGCAGTACTGGATTTGAACTCGGGGTCCCAAGCTTGCTAGACAGGTGCTTTATTGCTTGAGCAAATCCCCAGCCCTTTTTTGCTTTAGTTATTTTTAGGGATAGGGTATCATGTTTTTGCCTTGGGCTGGCCCCCAACTGAAACGTGCCTCCCACATTCTGGGGGCACAGTCACGTGCTACCACAACCAGGTTTTTTTGTTGAGGTGGGGGTCTCACTAATTTTTTTACATTGGCTGGCCCCAAACTGTGATCCTCCTGACTGTCTCCTGAGTACCTGGGATTATAGAGATGAGCTATTGTGTCTGGCCAGTGTCACATGATACTTTAACTACATGCTCTCAACCCTCAAGCTCACCACAATGGTAATAGCAGGTGGCTAAGGAATTATTCCAGTAGTCCAGTTATGATTTGTACTGCATCTTTATGTTCATTTACATTCTGTCAACTGCAGATGTCACCATGTAAGGTTTGTGTGTGTCTGGTGTGTACGTTATGATAAATTTTATCTTTTTATAATAGATTCATGCATATTTTATGGTAGCAAATGGTAAAATAGACTATTGTCTATGTATATTTTATGCACTCATGACATACCTATCTTCTTCTTCATTCTTTTCAACATTTCTAGACCATGTAGTTCATTTGAAAGGCTTTTCAGATCTACCCAACAAAAGTCCATGTGTAAGTGGACTCCAAGTGATTCAAACCCACATTCAAGGGTCAGCTATGTATGCTCCCCCTTCAAGATGTAATTTTCTTTGATTTAACTTCTTATGGGAATACGTATATATTGGTACCAGCACATATGTGTTTGTAGGCAGGAGATGTGATCCTGAGTATATTCAGTACTTTTTTGGGTTCTATGATATATTAATTATAAAAGATAATCATACTAACAAGCATGAGTATAAGTTTTACAATTATAATAGAAATTTGGTAGATTTTAAAAAATTAATTTGTGATGTGAATTTGTTATAAGAATAAAATGTGAAGTTTTTCTGATGATGGAATCCCAGTTTAATACAAAGCTATCTGTCTGTTACTCTTTTCTAGAGTCTTACAAGAGATACAGCCACTGAAATAGCCATGAATGTGAAGGCGTTATATAATGAAACAGAATCTCTGCTGGTTGGCAGGGTTCCTTTGGTAAGGAAAAGAAATATGGATAACATAAGGATGATGAAGTAAATATCTGGGCCTTACCTTCCTTAGGAAGCGTGCTTTGAGCAGACCCTAAGACGGAAGCAGCCTTCTGGCAAGCTTTTTGCCAAGCTTTTACCTTCCCCCAAATATATGGTTAAGTGTGGGAGTTACCATTTCAGGCAAACAGGAGTAGAGATTTTCCTTCCTGGGTATCATCGTGTCTTTATGACATCCTCTTCTCTCCAATCAGCTTTGAGAGACTTGAGCTTTATGTACAGTGTGGTAGACATTTTTCAGGTACTTATGAGTTTGTTTCCTGAATTAACATTTGAAATACATTGGTACAGTTCTGCCTATTTGGTTGCAAGAGGACACTGTAAAGTTATGTTTCAAGAGCTAAACTTCAAGAATTACCCTTAGTTTAACTCAGTTTGGTCCTGAAAGTCAAGTTTAGACCACAGCTACAGATCTCAAACATTAATGCTAGCCAGAGTCTTCCTTTCCTTCAAATTTACTCACCATTTTTCAAATGTTCTAACGTATTGGATCTTGTTGCCACCTAGAGTTTGATGGTAGCATATTCACACATGCTGTTGTCCCTGTGTGGAAAGCCTAATTAGCTGTCTTTTCCTTCCTTGTAATTATCCTAATTAGTTGGTAGGTGGAGATCTTAAAAACATTTCTTATGTCAGTAATTTTATCTCTGCTTGGGAAAATACACACCCAAATAAAAGTTATAAGTCATTAATACCACTCTACTTGCCATAGTGGGTGAATGGAGGGGGACATGTGTCATACTGCCTGGCTAACTTGTGAGTGATTGGGCTTGGGGTTTCTGCTCGTTGTGGTCCAGAGATTGCTGCCTTTGGAGCCCCTTTGCTCTGAGGAGCTCGAAGGCGGCATGAAGACCAGTGCTCTTATCGACATCCTCAGGAAACTCAAACATGGCTTCCTTGGGAGAAGGGGTGGCTGCCTGTACTCTGGCCACATAGAAAAACTTTTGGGAAGAAACATTGGTTATCTCTGGATAAAACCAATGGAAACCTCTCCTTGACTATTGTTGGCACTACTGTTGGTAACCAGAATCTTCTGTTGATCTGTAAAATAAACCTATAGGAAATCGTGTGAGCTGTGACTTGGACCCGGTTTTTATATTGAGAATACACTTTTGTGTTATTTGAAATACATTTAAAATCATTTGTGACAAGAACTAGAAGTATAGCTTTGTCTTCTACACCAAAAGTACTTTCTTGTTCTACTTTATTAATATTTATCAATTTAGTATAATTAATATATTTAGTTACAATGAATGGACTCACCCTCTACTTCTGATTCTCTGGTTTTGTCAAATATGTTTGGTTTGAAATGCATTCCAGTGAATTTTACCAAAAGTTTTGACAGTAGTGATACCACAATGAAGAGTTTATTGTATATGAGAACGACTAAAGTTCATTGTTTGTTTGGTTTTTGGTGCTGCCAGAGTTTGAACTCAGGACCTCATACTTGCTAGGCAGGCACTCTACCACTTGAGCCACTCTTCCAGCCCTTTTTACATTAGTTACTTTTCTGGTAAGGTCTTAAGGCCAGCCTGGGGCTGGCCTAGACTATGATCCTTCTACTTAAGCTTCCTGTATAGCTGAGATGATAGCCTTGAGCCACCAAGCCTGGCCTTACCATAGCTTTCTATCACAAATTTTTGTAAGGTTCATTTTTTTCCCCTAAACTTACTGTTTTAGTTTTCTAAGAAATTTTCATGTAGTTCTTTTTATATGACAAGTTTTTGGCCAACTTAAAAAATTATTTGTTCATGTAGTGACCTATATAAATCAAAAAGATTTAGGGCACAAACAAGTAGGATGATGAGACAGTTTACTGCTGGAAGCATGAAGATTAGATAGATAACTAACTGGTTGGAAGGAATGAAGGAAAACAAGAGAGAGAGAGAGAGAGAGGTATTCCATAGAAGATATACCAAAAATAGTACTTTCCTGTATAACTATTTAAGTCACACTAGCTATGTATATCAACTTTAGGAAGTAAGACTTAAAGTAAATCCATCCACATATTTTAAAATGAAAATATAAAATAGTTTGCCCTTTTAAAAATATTCTTTTGTTTAGAAACATCTAGGTTAAGAAGTGAGAATATTCACTGTCAAAACAAAATAATCGTTCTATTTGAAGTTGGTCACTGAGTCTTGTTTTGTTTGCTTTTTTATTTTTATTGGTATATATAAGTTGTACAAAAGGGTTTCATTGTGTTATTTCCATATATGCACACTATGCATTAGGGTCATATTCACCCCCTCTATTACCTTTTTGGTTTTTTTTAAAATATTTTTAATGCATTTTATTATTATATATGCATATGTGATCATATCCACCCCCATCACCCTCTTGTTTTTCTTCTTAATCTGCTGGTGAGTAGCAATTGGAATCCCCACATGAAGAGCGGGTGTCCAGTGCCTTACACTCTGTGGAGGTGGAGTTGCAGAAGTTAACAGAGATCCCCTGGCTTTATTATATCTTACACCCCAATGAGGATGAGGTATGTAAGATTCAGTGCGATTCATTATGAAAAAGTGATATTGAGGGGAAAATAAATCTTGAATTGATTGCTACTTTCACACGTACCATTCTTGAGACAGAAAAGGCGTGCTGTGAACACAGGCATTGTGAACACTTTTCAGGAAGGGCCTCTTTCACAATCTCTTTTCGAAGCAGTCACTGCAGTTCCACAATGTGCGGTGTTTATCCCTATTCCTATGTTATCTCTGTTAGCAGAATGAGCTTTTTTCTTAATATCCTAAGACAATTCTTTTGCTCTATTTGAACAGGAGCCTCCTATGGATTGCAGCAAAAGAAACAACAGAAGCACAGTGTTTCGTATAGTGCCAAAGTTTAAAAAGGAAAAGGTTCAGAAGCAGAAGACAAGTTCACAGCCCGGTAGGTGGTCTTCACGGTGGGGGAAGGTGACTTATTAGGTGACTGAGGTCATGTCCTGGAGCTAGAGAGTGGTGAGCCTTGCCCAACCTTATGAATATATTACATGTCATGGAATTGTACACTTTAAGATGGTTAAAATAGTCAATTTTTCCATAACAAATCTCATCATACCTACATATGTCAAGGTGTTAGGAGTCTGTAGTTATGAAGCCTAGAAGGAAATGAGGTATTCGCTAATTTTTTCCCTCTCTGCCCTGTGGATGTCAGAGTGTCTGTTCAGGTGGGTCTTTATCTTTCTCAACAGCAAATTACTGTATAACTTTGTTTTTCTTCTTCAAAGTTCAAAGTCAAGATGAGTTTGATAAAGGGAGCATAGAAACTTTCATTTACTCCTTTAAGTTAATATATTTTCCACCCAAAGTTATATGTTCTCTTTCTCCTGCTTTAAGGACCCCAGTTCAACCCTTGATAAAACAGTCTGCCATGATTACTCGTATTTTCAAGCAAATACTCTCTGTGCTACTGAGAGTAGTCTCTGTGCTACTGTCTTTCTAGCTCCCTTTCCACTTTCTCTTAGAGATCCAATTTACTATATATTAAAATTTGCTGCACATTACTGTTTGCTGAGACACCTTCAAGTTCTGTGTATAGACAGCTGCCTTTCATGTTCAAATCATTTTATAAATTCTTAAATTATAAGAATTTTATAAATTCTTCTTAGTTATCTATCACATTTTTTAAAAAATCTTATGCTATTCTTAGAGCAGCTGTTGAAATGCACTTAAAAACCAAATGTTGCAAATATGTAGGCTTTTATAAAGTTAGCTAATGTTCAATAAAGTATATGAGAATATTGTATTGAAAAATAGCACGATCCAGCTAATCTTGGAGAGCAATGCTGATGTTCTTGAGTGACATTTACTGCTGTAATGATCAAGAGTAGTTGAATCACTAAAGATAACACTTGAAGTCAACATGACTTTAAGCAGAAAAGTGTAGACCCCCATCAGGTTTTAAATTTTAATTAACATTTCTAATTCTTTCCTGACTATGTAGCCATTTTCATCCGTGGTCTTAAGGAAACCACCAGAATTTATTATATTACCTTGTACCCACTGATTCTAACAATGCAAAATAAATTGTTTAGGCATACTGTGTGTTTGGGGTCATCTTAATGAGGAGATTGGAGGAGAGCCAAAGGCACACACACACGGTAGCGAATGTCTCTGTATAGTCAGATCCTCGTGTCCGTGGATAGTCTGTAGCCTGCATGGGAAAAGTGGAACTGCAGCTTCATTGAAGCAACACCTGTGACCTCTCCTCTGCTAGCACTGCTGCTGCTTTCTGTTATGCATCTTCTTTGGCCAACCTTTGCTTTGTGATGCATTGAGCATGTAGAAATTAAGGGGGTTTTGCTCTTAACTTTGGTAGTTCAGAAATGGGGCACAGAGGAAGTTGCTGCTTGGCTGGATCTACTCAATTTGGGAGAGTACAAAGAAATCTTCATCCGCCATGACATCAGAGGGGCTGAACTTTTGCATCTGGAAAGGCGAGATCTTAAGGTATTTCCTTTGTGCTACTCTTCTGCTCTTGAAAATTTTCTTGCAAAACAGAATCCTTCCTCCCGTGCTTCTCTGTTATGTGCTTTCTGCTTGGCCTGCGTGGTACAAACATGCAGGGATCTAACATTCACTGTCCTGGAGTCTGTGATCCTTGTGTGCTTTCTAAAAAGAGAATGCCGGCACTCTTTTCCTGTCAAAATCACACTACAATACAGCATGCACTTAGTCATTCTTCTGTGCTTCCATTGGCGTGACTGTTCCTGTGCTGGTATTTCCAAAAGGACCATGTCTTCATCAGTTCATGTTACGTGTCAGCATGGGAGATCATTGTTGCTGGAAAAGACTAAACAAATCTAACATAAGGTTAACAACTAAAAATTAATTTAAAATACCAGTAACAAACCCTTTCTGTTATATGGAATAGATGTTATATGGAATATAAGCAATGGATCCTTTTAGTTCTATAATTTCATTGCGTTTTCAAATTGGCCTTTCAGAGGTCACATAAGCAACTGACCAATTCAAATTTCCTTTCCATGATGCAGTGTTAAGATCCCATTATTCTCAAAAAGGAATTATTTTCTTTAGTAAACAAAGTAAAAATTATACCTTCCTTTGGCTAGAGAGCGGCTCAGAGCCTGTCCGTCCTTTATGACAGAGAAGAAGTGTTAACTGATGGTCTATAGCAAGCCCTTTTTTTCATTCTTTGGGTGGAGGGAGATTGTTGAGTTGAAATAGCCAATACCCCATTCTGCCTGAGGATTAAGGAGTAGGATTTTTATCATGATATATTTTCCTACCATGCACGGCCCTTTTAAAACAAGCAACATTGTTGAAGTGATCCCTCTTCCGGTAGCTCAAGTTCTAGAACGCATACAGTTATGACAGCGAAACGCGATCAAGCTGCACCTTCACCTACGTAAGTTAGCAAAGGTCTTTGCACAGATCATGAGTAGTGTGAAGGATGGGTTTTCACCGAGTAGTCCTCCAGTGTTTTAGCATGTCACAAGGTAAACACTATTTATATCTAAATAACTTTAATAATAAATAATTGATTACCTTAATTGAGAGTCCTAACTCTGGATCAGAGCAAAATGTACAGTGTTGAAGTTTATAAGGCAAAGGTTTCAGAACTTGAAATGAGGGCACTATGTGTTTGTGTGGCTTCTGACATCCTTAGCATGCTACAATAGTCATTGAGCAGGCATCGATAAACACATTACACCAGTGGTGCTAGCTCAGCCATGAATAAACATACAAAGAAAACTGTGTGAATGTAAAAATGTACATACAGAGATGCATTTTATGTGCTTGTTACATAAATACATACGTGTATATGTGTTATATAAATACTTGTAGATGTACATAAACGTACACACACTGAATGAACCAGATATTTGTCCAATGATGAAACAAAACTCATACATACACTGAGGTAAATTGAAGCAACAGTAACCCTGGTTAAGAGAAGGTAACAATAGAAAGGAGACAGTTGGGAATTATTTTAGTAAATTTTTATTACCTTTGAATGGTTTTTGTTGTTGTTCTGCATTTATTTATTTATTTATGGTGCTGGGGTTTGAACTGAGGGTCTCATGCTTGCTAGGCAAGTACCACTTGAGCCATGTCCTCCAACCCTTTTTGCTTTAATTATTTTTTAGATACAGTCTCTCTAGGCCTGGGCTGGCCTAGACCGTGATTTTTCTGCTTTTGCCCCCCTCAGAGCTGGAATTACAGGCATGAAACACCATGCCCCAGCTCATTTGTTGAAATGGGGGGGGGGTCTTGATAACATTTTTTTTTGGCCTGTATTGCCCCTGAACCACGATTCTCCTAATATCTGCCTCCTGGCTGAGTAGTTGGGATTATGTATGTGAGCCACTGCACCAACTTGTTTTTATTTTTTATACAAATTATATTCCCTCCCTAAAAACTTTTCTTTTAGAAATTTGTTTTGACATTGTGCTTTTTAACTCTTTTTGCTTCCAAACAAGGTGTGGAGGTGGGAAAAAGAAATTTTTACAAAAAGACCCTTCCGTATCACAAACTGGGGTTGGCTGTCAGAAGAAGCGGGTCCTTCAGAACATTCTCTGAGAGCTGGTGAAGGGTTACTTACCCTGTCACCTCATCCACTCCAGTCGCTTCACACATGACCTGTGAGTGTACATGTGGCTTACAGGCTCTCTTGCTACCCTGCCTGACCTCATCTATGATCTAGAGAATTGTGTCACCAACTGCCACAGGAGTATAATCTTAACATGTGCAAAACCAGACCCTTGATCTCTGTCCACTCCCACCTGCCCCTTTTCCAGTGCTTTGTGTTTTAGTAAATCATACTTGTGGCCCTCCAGATGCTGCAAGTAGCAAAATCCAGAGTCTTGAACATCTTCTTCCTTACTGGTCTCCTGTGACCTCTCACCAAATCATGTGGCTTCTGACCTCCATTCATGGCTCTCTTGTCCTTCCCACAGTCTTCCTCTATGTGAGTGTGACATCTTGCTTGTGAAATAGTTTTCTAACTGGCCTTTCCAGTTACATGGCACATCCCTTATCCTCACGGCAACCACAGTGACATGTTAACATCTTCAATCAAGTCTATCACTTCTGTGCTTAAACTAAGCTTTCAGTGGCTTCCCATGACTATGAGAATAAAGACCCATGCCTTAATGGAGCTTAAAGGGTTCTGCCTGCTACTTAACCTCCTGTAAAGTCTGGCTCCTCTCTGGGCTGTGCCCCATCCACTTTGGCCTCACATCATTTGCTTTAAAATACTACATTTTTTCTCACCTTGGGAGTGTGCCTTCCTTGCTATGTTTCTCCCCCTGACCCTTCACATGGTTAATTCCTGCCCAGATCTTGGCATAAGTGTTCTTTTCTTATCCCTGAAACAACTAGAGAGAGCAGCCTGGGAATGGGAACACATTTCTAATGTGTTTACTAGATAAAGAAGCAAGTAGACTTTAACATTGTCCCTGCTGGAACACACCAGGAGGACACCAGAAAAAAATGGTAATGATGTGCTGGAGAGTTTATTGTTTCCTTATATATTTTTTTTAATTTGGAAAGTTGTGTGAAGGTTTCTAGAAGAATAACTTGATATCAACAAATTATACCTTGGTAAAATTAGGCCTCTTTATCCAAAGAAAGAAAAAGTCAGTAGTAAAGAATATGATAAAAATATACAGTGATACTTGATTAAAAATATATGATACATGATCAAAAAGAAAAATACAAAAAATGTCACAGCAAAATATCATCACAGGACCAAGTGTGGTGGTACAGACCTGTAATTTCAGCTTCATGGGAGACAGAGTAGCAGGATCAGAGTCTGAGGCTTACACTGGTGAAAGCCTGAAAAGTGAACTAAAAAGCAAAAGGGACTGGGAGCTTGGCTCAAGTGATAGAGCATTCACCTAACAAGCACAAGTTTCTGAGTTCAAACCCCAGTACTGCAAAACTTCATCACAATCTCACCTCTAGAGAAGACATGAAAATACCAAAATCAAACAAAAAATAAGAAAATGTAGTTAAGAAATTAATAAAATTTTCTGTTATGCTATGGAAAACATTGGTCTCTATATCAAAATAGTAATTGTGAGTAGAGTCTACCTCCTCCAGAGAAGTTTACATTCTGGAGAATACAGTGTGTATATGGCCTAAAATAAAGTATTTAATATTTAAATATGTTTTATAAGAAAATACTATGTTTTCACAAAGTATGAAAAATACCAAAATATTCTACTCAAATGAAAAAAAATCTAAGTGTAATTATAAATGTGTTTTTAACAAGTATATATGAAACAGGCACTGGTGTCTTCTCTAGGATTCAGCCTTGCTTTTTAAAAGTTTGGTATTTATCACATATCCAGGAAATGCATAGCTAGCTTAGGACTAATTTTGTTTACTCTGTCATGTGAGAAAATATTTTTCTGGGTCAGTTAAGCATGATAAAAATGTCACACTGAAGTTCTGAAGTTATCTCAAGCTTGAGACTAGCACTAGCTTTGCAAAGAATGTTTTCTAGAAGGGTTGAGAATAGTCGGTAGAATTGCCACTATAGAACTCAAAGAACTCATGAAGCATGAGAAAGAATGTGTGCATGTCCACTTAAGCCAGTGTATCTACTTCATTGAAAAGATTGAAGATCAATTATGATCTTAAGTTCCAATTATATTTGGAATCTTTGTCTTTTTTTGACAAGTAATTTTGTGCTGTTGTACAACCGTGTTTCTTTGTAAGTCTTTTAATTTTCAAGTATTTTACACTGTTTGTGAAGAACTTGTTAGATCTCACACATCAGCAAGCTGATTTTACTCATTACACTTGAAGAAGCCAGACAGTTTGGAGGCCTTATGTCTCCCTTGTAGTTTGGGGGATTGGTTTTTTTTTTTTTTGGCAGTACTGGGGTTTGAACTCAGGGCTTCATGCTTGCTGGGCAGGTGCTTCACCACTTGGGATATGCCTCCAGCCCTCTCTTGTAGTTTTTAGGTATGGATATTGTGGCTGTGTTGGATGAGCTCCATTTATCCCTGTGGCACACTCTGCAGTCATAACCCATTCCTGAAAGATCAGTGTTGGATGCTTCACTCTTATAGAAAGATAGTCCAAGAAACAAGAGGAGTAATTCTGAGGGCAAAGACCCAATAGTGTTTTGAGGGAAAGCATCAACCAATGCATGCCTGTGTTTAAGTAATTTTTTTACACATATGTTCATTACAGCATATAAAGAGTATTTGGATTAGCTGTCCACCCAAATCAAAGGCTCCTAATTCAACTACAAAGGCATTTACATTCCAAGTTTAGGTAGTTGGTGCTAGTATCTTCCTCTTGGATTGGACCTCAATTTTAAGTTTAATAATTTAGCATAAGAGCTGGGCATGGTGGCACGCATAGTCCCAACACTTGGGAAACTGAAGCAGGAGGATCAGTTGAGCCTGGGAGTTCAAGACTAGGCTAGAAAACATGGTAAGACTGTCTCAAACACACACACACACACACACACAAGAAATGTCTGGTTGCCTTAGGTTGCCTAAGATAACCTGTAGTTCTACATCATTTGCATCAGAGATCCCCAAAGGGTCTATCTTTAAAAAAAGAAACACACAAAAAGAGAAAAGAAGCCATTTAGTTTTAACTCTGGAACAATTGCCCCACTGTGTGTAATTTGTGGAAGTATCACAGTTAATAGAAGTTTGTATACAGGTTGATAAGGTTATTTTTGTTTTATTAACTTGTGTTTCTAGCTATCACTTCCTGAATCGTTGATCATAAACTAAAATGGATGAACTAAAAAGGCTAATTATGTTACTTGCTAGTGAAATATTTAATCTCCAGTTTTCCTTTTCAATAAGCTTCTTTGTCTTTCTTCTTCTTTTCTGCCTTCCTTCCTTTTTTCTTTCCTTCCACCTGTCTTTCTTTTGCAGGACCTGGGGATACCGAAAGTGGGCCATATGAAGCGAATTCTTCAGGGAATTAAAGAGCTTGGAAGGAGCACTCCCCAGTCTGAGGTGTGATCATATTGGTGCTATTCCATGGAAGAGAAGTAATTGCTACTTAATACACAGTTCTTGGAAGCAGCTGGCTGTTCTTGTAGCTTTCTGCATACATAAATAAGCACCACTGAAGCACCTCACCTCTATGGCTTGATGTTCTGCTGTGGGTGAAAATTTTGATTTGAGGTATTAGAAAATGTTTTTTGTGCCAAAAAATACATTCCACAAAGCCATTTTCTTACTCTGTAAACCTGATATGTTCCAACATGCTTACAATAGTTTATAAAAAAAAAAAGTAGGGGGAGTCTGAGATGATCGTGCTGTCTAAAGGGTAGAACTGCTGGTGGTTACTCTCCTAGGATCCGGTCTAATTGCAGGTTCTTCCTGGGCAACTGTGTAATAGTATGTGGCTAAAACTTTTTAGGCTTCATTACTGGAAGCTTCAGCTTCTTCCTTAAAATCATTGGGTAGTAGATGAAGAGAGAAGTTAAGTTGTATGTCGAATATCTCAGCATTCACTGGTAAAGAATATGGTTAAGCCAACCCATCAACTACTATGAATAATGCAAACCTTCCTGCACGGTATTCCTGCCTGAATCGTCTTTCTTTTTCTTGCATGTCATATCTAATATTGTAACACTTTAATAGCTTTAATGTCAGTTTTCATGGAATTTAATTTATTACTATCCAAGTACCTTTTTGTTGGCTAAGGTCACTGCACTTTTCTGTTCTTTAATGTGCATTTTTACATATATATTCTATACCTAAGACTCTGTGAACATGTTGTGCCATAATCAACAAATTATATACATTTTATCAAGCCAGTTTTACTTCGACCTATTACAAACTGTAGTTGTACACATTAAGAAAAATTCTCTGAACAGTTTCATAAGCTTACATGTTCTGTTGTCTCACAAAACCATATTGTAGCTTTTCCAAAGTTCCCACATTTTGGTCCTACTTTTTCATTTTAGTTCCATAATTGTCTAATATTCTGTTTGAATTTATAACAGACTGTTGACATATAGGAATTCTCCAAGATCTCAACTGAGATTTGTGTACTGATTGGTCAGCCAGACTCACCCACTAGCTACAGTGACTTTTGAGATGAACTTCCTAACAGAAAAAATTTAAGTTTTTTAAAGGGCTTTATATTATTATTATCTGATATAAATTCTTATATCCTATTTGGTAGATACTATTTTCCTTTTTCTAAACCCTATACATCAGTGTTGGTCAATAGAACTCAAGATTACAATTATCAAATCTTGGAAAGCCAAAGGCATACATATCAAAATGTCACAAAATATCCTTAAGTAAGTTTTCTTTAGCCATTATATGCCAAAAAAATGATTATAATATTTTAAATGTTCTATATATGACAAGTAACAGGGTACTGACCCAGTGATGACAGTTTTCATAAAGCAACCTGGCAGGTGCTCAGTAGATATACACACACATGCACATAGACATACACACATGGTGTATATACACATACATACACGTATACATGTATTATGCATATACACACTTATGTACATACGATCTTGAGACGTAGTATCCCTAATATTTTCTAGACTATCTTTGCCCAATATTTAAAGAGAGCTATTGATAAAAAAACATTTTAAATGAACTGTTGACAGAGATATTTAATTATTTCAAATGAAATTGACAGTTTATTCTTATTTATAACTTGAGTATTTAACTACTAGTAAAGTTATAAAATGTGGATATCTTTTTAAAAATGAGGACTGGGGATGTAGCTCAGTGGTAGAGCACTCTTCTAGCATGCACAAGGCCCTGTGTTAGATGCCCAGCACTGCAAAAATAAATAATAAATAAACCTGATGGGTTCCTGACCAAGTATGTTTGACCATGTATTTTACCTGAGTTGCAGACAAGTGGAGTTTTTTTCCAAAGAAAATTTATATCAAGTAGTTTAAAACGGTAATATGCTACTCAGTAATTCTAGTTTTACACACATCTGTGAAGTCAAAGGGCTCCTTTTCCAGTCTCTTCTGTAGTCCCCTCCCCACCATATAAGTTGTTCTGCTCTAAAAGCTTTCCGGTGAAACCACAATATCAGGTGCCAGATTCCCAGAGCTTCTCTGAGATTCCAGATCTTTGTCCAGCTTTTAGGAAAGTGGGCGGAGGGACAGGAGAAGGAGCTGTAGTGTAATGTGTTAATATAAAAACCTTTATTGATTGGCAAATACCCCCTTGCCAGTAGCAAAGATTCTCAAGCTATTATGTGCTCTAAATTTAAAAGTACAATGTAATGATTGAATTTTCTTTTGTTTCATGATCTTTTCACTCTTAGGTAACATCTTTTATATATTCTTTAAAATCTCAGTTAATAGAAATCTTAATTAGCAAGAGTTTTTCTGCAAATGCCTTTTAGATGAGGGACACATTTTTTTGTTGTTGTTAAATGAGAACAGGGTTTTTTTCCTAGAAGCTTTGTCTGCATATGTCTGTGCAGGACTCAAATGACTTCACTGACACCTGTTTGCCAGCATGGTGCCCTCAGAGTCTCCTTAAGCCACTGTGAGTGCCATATTTTTATCCTACATGAGGTTTAAAAAAAACAAAATAATAGCTGCTTCTCCCTGGGGTCCATTCTCAGCCTAGGGAGTGCAGCTGAGACCTCTGTGTTTTGATCTATGCATAAGCAGAGCAAGAGTCTCACCTGTGCACCCAGTTGTGGCTGTAATTGTCACTTCTCTCCATAGAGTGTAGGTGAGGGAATCTCAGCCAAAGTCTACTCTGTTTTACCTTCATTTTCCTGCAGAGAAAAACTGCTTCCTAAGAAGGAAAGGGATGGGGTGAGGTCTTAGTAAAATTCTAGAGTTTTCAGTATGTCTCTTAGCATCTGTCTGCCTCCTGTTGCGAGTTTCTTTCCTATGTCCTGACTTTCCATTTTCCTATGTGTTCAGTATAATAATGACTCCTGAGATCCTCACTGTCTTCTGCTATCCCTTTCCTCATCAATTGCCCATTATAAAATGACCCCTACTTTAAACAATCCCTATTTTAAACAGTGTGAGGTATTTGCCTAAGCATTAGGGAGAAAAAAAAATTTAAGCTATTTTTATAGTTTGGATTTTATGAAAGGATTCTTGCTAGGCAATGCAAATGAATGGATGGGCTAGCTCATCCGGTCTGTGATATCTATTGTTCTTGCTGAGAAGAACTGACCTGTGAATGTCTAGATCTATGCTGTCTAGTATTCTGCCACTAGCTAATGTAGCTATTGAATTGAAATTGAAATTGACTAGAAAGTCCTTTTCTCAGTTGCACTAGCTGTGTTTTGAGTGCGTTGTAATCCTAGATTCCAGATGTAGAACATATCCACCACTGCAGAAATTCTGCTGCACAGCACTGGTCCAGATGGATGTAGTCCATGAGCCAGCAGCAGCGGAATCACCTGGGGCTTACAGAAATGCAGTCTCAGGTAACACTCCAGACCTTCCATTTAACAAGATTCCTCAGGTGATTAGTATTGGGATAGAACATTTTATCCCTCCTAGGTCTGAGGTCCTCAAAAGGTCCCCAGAATAGCTTTTTCCTCAGCCCACTGTCTATTCTCCAGGTGATCCTAGAAATGAGCTAAAACTCTTTCATTACCCCAGCAGTTTTCTTCTATGGACATAATTCTTCTGGTCACCTAATTCTAATCCAGATGGGCCCTACGTACCCAGGGCCCCTCGCTATTTTGTTAGCTAAGAGAGCACAGGAGAGCCACATATATCACAGCTGGCCCCTCTCCAGCCCCTCGTTCCACTCTAAGCCACTGAAATCTTAGTTTGTCTGCTGAGTCTGTTGCTCATGAGGTATGATCATTTGTTCATGACTAAAGTCACAGGGAGCATTTCGGAAGACCATGTGCTAAGATGAGTAAAGCTTGTTCCCCTACAACTTGTTCAATTCCTTTTCTCTTTTATCAGTAGACTATCCAGTTGACATAGTTCATGCTTGAGCACACTTAGCCACATGTACACACTAAATGAATCATTAAGGCATGAAGAAAGGAGGAAAGGATCAAAAATGTTTACAAATAAAGTGGATGTACCTTTTAAATCCTCGAAGGAGGCATGTTTTGCTAAATTTGGGTCTGCTTTTCTTATGCTAATTTAACTTGATTTTCACAAGTTACTTGGTTAGTAATTTCTTAAAATAGTGTCTGAAAAATAACATATCATATTCTTGACTCCCCAAAGAAAATTATTTAGTTCTGTAATAAGATCTTCCCCCAAAGACTTGTCAGAAATCCTTCACTTATATAACTTACCAAAACACAACTGTTTAGCTAGTTTTTATGTATTAAGATGATACTATTTTAGACTTCATGGGGGTATTTTTGATAGGAATTGAAAAAGGAAATAATCATACAAGATATGACTTGGAAAATTATAGGAGATCCCTCTGTACATCACTTCTAAAGCAAGCCAACTACTACCCCCTACCAGGCTAGTGAACTTTCATGTTCTAATTTTTTTTCTTGTGTTAAATTTATTCCTAGGTATTTTATTTTCTTAATAAAATTCTCAAGGATGTGAATTCTTTAAGGACATCACTTTTAATTAGGCTGCCAAAACAATACATCTTTCAACTTTGACATCTAGGCTCTCTCTGGCCTCTCCACCCCCACCTCAATGAACTCATCCTACATCTTTCAGTTGTATGTTGGATAGACAGTGGGTTGAGTGTTGGCTAATACAAGAAGCAGTTTTAAATACCAAGTTCTCCCCAGCACAAGGAAAAACAAAAAGAGACAGAAGAGAAAATTTCTCAAATGGGAGCTCTGGGCTAATGGAGAAGGCTTCCCTAGTGGTTCTACCTACTCCCTCTCATTGCTCTATCCACCCCAAGTGCAGTGAGGCCTGGGTCTTGTTTGTGTCTGCTGTGACTGTGGTGTCTCCTAATTGACTTTTGTATAGCAATCTCTCTTTCACATCAGTAGTAAATTTCCTTTGCAGTAGGATGCCTTCCTAAAGAAAACAAGAACTTATAAAAGGTGATGATTAGTAGTTTTTATAAGAAGCAAAGCACTATTCTTTCTTTATTAATATTTTTTCTTGATTGTTTTTCCAAGTTTTGTTTAGAGACATTTATGTTAGGAGAAAAATTATAAAGGCTTGTCATTATAGAGAACAGAGAGATCAAAGACAGCTGGACTGTAACTATTTGTATAATTCTGTTATTTTCAGGAAACATGTAACAGAGTAACTGAGACCACATTAACTCAGTAACAATGTTTATGATAAACTTCGTATAATTTAGGTGAACAAGTTAATTCCTTTTGTGTAATTAAGATAGCCTATTTACATTATTTATATACTGTTTCCTAATTTTTATGCACTTCCAAGTTTTAGTTGGAAAAATAAAAACCAAGCCACTACTTAAAAATGATAGAACTTCCACATAAAATATTCATTTTAGCTGCAAGTTATTCATTGTATAGAAATTTGTAAATAATCCAATTATTTTACAGTAACTGCATTTCAAGAGTAAATTAAGCACACCTAACGAAACATAGGGTTACTTTTAAAATGCATTCAAAGAAAGGTGTTTTGTACTTAGTGGATAATGCTATTAAAGCAGGATACTGCAGTTAGATACACAAACGAGAAAGGAAAAAGAGTATATCTCATGGCCTTGATGTTTGATTGCACTGTTGTTTCCATGGCTTAGCCATATCTGTTTCTATACGCTAAGTAGTACGTTAACTTACAGCTAAAGATTGCTTACAGTTCTGATAACTGGTAGTAGTGCTGTGAAGGGTTGCAGTATTGTAACATTCCCAGTTTTGTGAGTTATATATTGTATATTGAAGATGACTGGTAAATTAGAGTAATATATTTATCTAGAGCTGGGAGAATATGATTATTTTCAAATCTTCAAGAAAGTTGTATCTAATTTTTTTCTTCCTCTTAAGAT